CCACGTGGTAATGTTTATTTTTAGTTTCAAACCGACATAAAGTCAGTCATTTTGAAATTAAAGCATTCTATCCCTATGTTGCGTATTGAGCGAATATTTCGACAATCTTGATATAGTGACTTTATGTCGGTTTGAAACTAAAAATAAACATTACCACGTGGTCGATTATCCGATTATCTTGACCCATTTTAGGATCACCCGAGGTCAACTGGCCGAAATCGAGGTTCTCAGGAAAATGCGTATAGTTCCTGAATCCTAAGAGATAGAGAGTAAAGACTGGTCTAGAATTGTAGATCTCGGTTCGGGCTATCGATTGCACTGTTTAAAAATCAAAATTCATCGTAAGGTCCAGGAACGCACTTCGACTTTGGATCGAAAGACTTACCATGGTAAACCTTTCCTGGAAGCCTAGTTTTTGCATATGCTTACATCCCCCGATGTTCTCTATCCAACGGTGAAAACCGCATGTCTCTATCACTTTTCGTCCAAATGTGATAAGTATTCTGCCGAGCTGCCTCGTTTTCAGAAAAGGACAATAATAACTTCTATTCATACCCTAAACCATTTAATAACCGGATTAGGATTGCCATTAGCAACACAAGACATTGTCAATATATCATATTCTCGCACACGATAGATATCATTTGGTTTCAATATAAATTTAATCGGTTCTAGAAAAAAATTGAAAAGAAATCAACACACAGTATTTGAATTGTAAGAAATCACAATGATTACCTTTTGTTTCTACATAAAATGTCGAAGAATATCCAAATCCTTCTGAATTTTGTGCTCGACAAAAATAGAATCCATCATCCGCTGATGTAACTGATTGAATAATTAATGAATATTCAGTATTAATTGTATACAAACCTTAAAAAACACATCAAAATGTCTATGTTTTATTTAAGAATAGTATAATGTTTTATTTACCCTTTGATTCAATTTGTATAGCCGTCGAATTTTTATACCATGAAACAGATTCTAGATGAGGATAAGATTCTAATAAACAAGGTGCAATACCCAAATTATTTCGAATTAATGTTAAATTTTTTATTGAAACAGTAGACGATGGTAAAGGAGGATCTAAATATTAAAATATTAATTAATAAAGAATAATTCAAAAATATTTAAATATATACATTTAACAGTTATTTTAGCTGGTTTTGTACGAATTGTCGTATTTGTTTGTGCATTTATTATACAAACATAGAATCCAGCATCAATCGGTTGAATATGAGATATTACCAATAGACCATCGCTATATGTACGTACATTACCAGATCTAATGACATCGGATAATGCTACATTGTTTTTTGTCCTAGTCAAAAAAGAGAAAATAAATTTTAATTTTTTTAATTTATAATTAATATATAATAATACCATGAATATTGTAACATTTCACTACTTTCAGCATCACATTTCAATTGTACCGTATCATTCATTTTAACCGTCTTGTTTTGTGGTGAAGACAGCAAATAGATTGAACCTATTAAAAAAAAATATATATTTTTTTAAATTAATAAAATTAAGTAAATAAATTTAATTTTATACCTTTGACCAATACACGAAAATCATTTTCAATTGAACCAAGACTATTATTGCCAATACATTTATATCGTCCAGCTAGACGATCATCGACATTTTGTAAAATAAAACTAATATAATTAAAAATTTAAATTAAATATTCATTTTTTAAGAATATAAAAATATACTTACTATTTACTATTTATCAATAGTAATTGTAGATCATCTTTAAGAAGTTTATACCATGAAACAATGGGTTCTGGTACACCATAAATATCACAAAACAAATTAATTGTTGAATAATGTTCAACAATAGAAATTGATGATGATACATTTAAAAAACGTGGCTTTTCTAAACGTATAAAAATAAAATATGTTTGATGAAAAAAACAGAAAAAGGAAGTAGCCAGCGACAAATGAAGCATGAAGCAGGGAAAACAAGCAAAAGATGTTAATAAGTTAAAAAAAGAAAAACAAAAATCAGCTGCAGTTTTGGTACATCAAACATAGAAAAAAAAAACCAGATCATTCCAAAGTTAGCTTATTGAACGGTTTTTTTTTTAGAGTTAGATCTCACACTATCAACACATAGAATTCTATAATTAAAAAAAGAATTCCCTCTCTAGAACGATTATTAAATACCATTATTGTACAAGAACAAATAGCAGCAGGAAAGCAATATTAAAAGTGAATATTATTACCATATTAATAAAAATATATAAAAAATCCTGTAAAATAAGTATACAGTGGTTAAATCTAGAGTGTATATTTAATTTAAACTAAAAAATTTAATTTTAATTCAAAAAAAATTACTTACCATTGACACGTAAATAAATAAAATATTTTTCTTTAATATCCAATAATCCTCGATCAATTAATATTAAACGACATTCATATGTATCATTATCATCTATTTGTATTTTATTTATTTTTAATGTTCCATTTAAATCTAATTCATAATGATAACGATATTGATCAGAAATATGTACAGGATATTGATCAAATTGTGATGCTATCGGTTGTGTAAAATTATTTTTATTTGAACGATACCATTGTAAAATAGATGGTAATCGAATACCACTGACAATTACACTACTACGATTCACTGGACACGATAAAAATGTTTTATCATTACCAATCTCACTATCGATTATTAATACCTCCACCACTACCGAAGAAAAGAAGCATGTGACTAAAAAAATAAATAAATAAATAGACATATAAAATAAAAATCTAGATTTATAACTGGATAATAACAATATTTATACCTAAATAGACAACAATTGAAAATGTTGAATAGTTGATTATCGGCATGTGACATATTTTAATACAAACGAATAATAATCTAAAAAATTAAACACACTCTTTGGTATATCTAATATTTTTTTTTCTTCTTCTCGTTTTCAATTGATTACATATTTATTCAAAATGACAAGTCATTATAAAATAATACCTTTATCATAACATGATTGTAAAACAAAAATGAGATTTATATCTTTTCAGAATGAAAACATTTTGTATAATTATTGTGAGTGATCAAAAATAAATGTTCTTACCAATGAGGAAGAGAAAGTTTAAACAACAGTTTTGTTATATTATTTTTATATATTTTTTTTTTTTGAGTAAACTTGTACATGCTTATTCACTCATTTATTCACTCACTCTCAGACAATGTTAGAGTATACACAAAAAAAGAAAAATCCATTAATATAATTGTGTAAACTCGAACATGTCTGCCCTATATCCTAACCGCATTCGAATAATAATATACATATCAAGAAATATATATATATATATATAAACATACAGCAACAAATTATAAAAAAAAAAAAAGAACGTATTATGTATATATCTATATATACCACTACCGCACCGGTACATAATCAATATTTCTTTTTCTCTTCCTCTTCTCTTCACGTCTTTCCTTTACTTAATGCTATGATCCGGTGGTCAATGATCGTTTTCTTATCAGCCTATATATCTTTTCTTTTTTTCTCTCTCTTTTTTTTTATTATTTGGCACACTTGTAACCTTCACCAGAATCCGACAGAAGAAAAATGTTACAAAATGAAGTAACGAACGCATAGTAGCTACACAAGAATGGCCATTCTCCTTTTCTTGTTTTTTTTTTTTTTTTCAATATTTTGTCTCAAACTATTGTATTGTGTTATATTCACATTAATATGTCATCTGCTATTGTATTATTTATTTGCAATATATACTTTACTTATTATTTTTTTTTTCGTTTCTTTTCATATGCACAGGATATCACTGAACCTTCATAAAAATATTGAGCCAAAAAGAAAAAAATTTAAAAAAATTCATTGTTAGAAATATAAAATCCATTATTTGTTTCTAACAAGTAAGATTAAATAAGAAATAATAACAATAACGTAAACATGCCTAATAGGTTCCAGGGCTTCGCTGAGGCGGTGAAAATCGGTCATGGGTCATATCGCCTCTAACCGGCCTAGCCCATGGTGAGCTGGTCAAAAATTTTTCAGCCCAACCCATGAGCCATCCAGCCAATAATAAATTTTCCCTAACACGCTGTCATTTGCCATGCTCGTCGAGGCCTTCGATGAGCTGCCTGGGTAGCCTCGATTTCGAGGCTACCCAGGTAGAAAATCTATGACTGTAAACTAATTTATACGGTGAAATATGGCGAGAAACGAACATCGTAATTCTCAGTCTGGCTACTTCTGGTAAGGATAATTTACTGGAAAAACTTCGATTCTTTTGAAAAAGCTTGTCAGCGTTGCTTCTACGAAGCAAGAATGTGGAAACTTCCAACTGAACTGTTGAATTATAACGTAGAACATATACAGCATAGTAATAATATATCGAAATAATTTTTAAAACTTGTGTCTAAAAACATCAGATGCACTGTCTGTTACTAGTCCATTCAGTAGCTGTAAACATCAAATTTATATTGAAATTTGGTCAATCACAATTTCATCCTGAAAGTTTACAGCTACTGAAATATGCGTTTATAGCTACTGATAAAAAACCCTCGGGAAACCACAAAAATCCTCGTATATAAAGTTTATACTTCAAACTTCCTTTTCCTTCGAAAAACGGAGTTATCACAAAACAACTCATGGGCGCCCATCGCACAGAGGCGTTGGCCTAGTCCAGCCCATTGTTTTCCTTTTCAAAAACTTCAGTCTATGAGTCGGGCTGGGCTGATTATAATTCAGCTCATTCGAAGCCCTGATAGATTTCCTCAACTTTTTGTATGCTAATAACAATTATAAGAAATCCGATGGTATTATAATATTTTTTCTCTTTGAAATACCAACAGGATAAAAAATGTGGATGTAATTCATCTTACGTAAAATAGCTAAATTTTTCGCTTCACTTAAAAAGAGTTATAAACACATTTGTTTTGACTTAACTATGCCTTATTTATGCCTTTTGTTCTATGTTTTCTTTCTTTTTTTGAACAGGTTATGATAACAAATGCATAGAGAGATTTCTTTTACCAAAAAAACAAAAACTTTTTAATAGTCTAAAAGGCGAGATAAAAAATCCAAATGACAGAAAATAGACAAAATTATAGAAAAGTAAATGACAGCTGCGACTATTATATTCGGTAAGTTATTTTCGAAGGCTGAAGAGGATTTTGTATTAAATGTAATAGTTCTTAAGAAGCACTTATATACCCATAAAAATAAATAATGAGAATACATACAGCACTTTACATAAATATGCGATAAAAGGCTTAAGTATTTTTAGAATAATTGGCAGAATAATTTCCTTGTCATATTTATATATAATCGTTAGACAACAAAAAAACATAGAAAGATAAGATAAATAAACAAACTGACAGTTTTTTGTCGTTAACATTATTAATTGATCCATGACCATAATCAAATGATTCTTTGTATATCATAGCTAAACAGTTTATTCAAATTGATGCACTATGTTCGGTATAAGTCATAATTTTAACCTAATTAATACATTTCTCCTATATAGTGATATTAGAAATGGTAAATTAATATTCAAAAATCTAATAGTTTCGATTTCTTCTAGGGCATTTAGTCGTTATCGGCAGGCATAAAAACATCAGAGTCTTAACCGTGGCGAATTTAGGTATGTAACGGAAAAGGAGTGAGCAAAACCAAAAGTAAAAAGTCATTCACTTAGCGAATAAGTTTTGTTTACTATTTTAAAGAATCATTTACTTCTTCCCTAAAGAATCCTAAATCTGTCACTCAGTTTGAGTTAAAAAATAATACAAGGATTATGTATATATATATTAAAAGCTCATTTAACTACGCCATAAATCAACTATTTTTTAGTATTATTTTGATATTAACGTCTTATTTATATTATCAAGATCATACTCAATCCTCAAATATAGCAATAAAAGAAATAAAAAGAAAAAAAGAAAAGAAAAACTAAACATACACAAATGACTACATTGGGAGTTGAACGTGAACGTCTTTGCTCATGCTAGATAATCAATAATCGGTTCTATTTTTGTAGTAATGATGGAAAAAAAATATATAAGATAAAACAAAAAAATAATATCTTACTTCAACCGTAGTTTTAGTCTTATGAAAAGAAAATATATTCTTGTTCCATTAACATTTATTCCCACCTTAAGTTGTTGATCATGGAACTGCCTATCAGCAGATAAATAATCTTTGTTGATGGTAAAAAGAAAACAGTATAATGATGTGTTAGAAAGGCTACTGCTACTTTTTCTTTATTTCGATCTTAGAATGTAGATACTAATAATTCGAATGAAGGACAAGGCTATCATTTTGACGTAGGAGAGACAGAAAATTGTAATATATATTTGTCTATAAATAACAATGAGATAATTGCTTGATAAATTACCTCTTGTAGAACAACAAGTCATCAACAAAAACGTTATATAGACAGAAACTGAAGTCGTTTCTAATAAATACAACAAAACTATTTCAGTTAATCGTGATCAATATGAAGAACGTACCATCTCCACATTCTGAAAAGTTTAAAACTCTCTTTTTAGTGTTATTTTCTCTAAAACAAACTTAAAATACGAGCAAAAACTTTCTCAACACAATTGCACACAGTGAAATAGGTGTAATACTAATTAGGTTCTACAGTTATTCTTGATGCATCGTTTCTAGGTAATAATTTTAACATGGTCGAACAAAAAAAGCGGGAATCATATATTATATATAAATATTTCTTTTCTTTCTTCTTTATTATTCCAACTCCATTGAGTTTTGATCCATGTTTTCTTTACTGTCAGAAGAAGCAAACCAAGGTAAGGAAAGATGTCACTTATAAAGATGTTAGGTTAAAAAGAATATAAGTTTTATTTTCAAGTTATCTTCATTATAGCCACTGTTTATCAGATCAAAATTTGAAAGATCGTGTCCGTGTATTGTGTTTAACAAGTAGTGCCATCTGTAAGTATCATTTGAGACTCGTTGATCTCTTTGCCACTATTCGAATGTCTTGTGAATATTGTTTACTTGTTGTTGTTGTTTTTCGCGTTCGAATGCAGAAACCTTTCTTCACGTTATGATTGAGACGTGTCTTTATGCTCAGACTACCACGATACTCTATCTGTATTATTTCAAATACTCTTTCCTGACATTTTAGAAATTTTTTTCCAACTTTCCATTATAATATTTAAATAGATGAAAAAACTGTGCCTAAGTGGTTGACTTTCTCAGTTTTTAATGAAAGAAATTTACTAAAAGTTTTAGAATTTAACAAAGTTTGAATGTGATCCATTTTCTGTTTTCAAAGTCTGTTAGAATTATCGAGTTATTTTCTATTGTATAGTTTAGAGGACGCTGTTTGTGATGATATCTCAAAAATTTTATGTGAAAATAAGCTGAAATAAAAATGATACCGGCACCTTCTGCATACTAAGATATTGACGTCATATTGTGATTTTAGTTTATCTTTACTGTAATTCCAAAAAATCTTGCAGAAAAAGGTGAGCAAGGTCATAGTTAATCATTGTTTAACTCTTTCGCTGAATTCTTTCCCTTAAAAACCAAGAATGCGCAGGAACTATACACATTTTTCTCGTTTGTTGAATTATAATTAACTCTTTTAATCCTTTAATGTAGAACACATTAGAGATCTGAACGTGCTATCTTGAATTTTGAATATTTTATTTTTCTTTGTCGTATGAAGCAAAATTAATCCGTTGTCAACATTGCTTGGAATCTTTGGTCTGTGATAACTGTAGTCAGAAAATAGCTCAAAAAATATATGTAACTTGGAAAGTCAGCATATTTTATTGAAAAACAGTTCGTAGATTATTGAAGCAGTTGATCGGATTAATAGCTCATTTGAGTTGGTGATTAAACATGGTTTGCATTTGTTCCAGATGTCGACTATATTTTCATGGAATTCAATTGACGACTCAGTGTATGTAGTCGATTCAATTCATTTTAGCAATATAATATGTTTGATTTTTTTTGTATATTTTCAAGTTTTCAAGGTCAATTATTAAAATTTACAAATTTAATTAAGGGATGGCAAATGAGAAATTTTTTTTTGGATACAAATGCAAAAGTATTACTTTATTTCATGGTAATAGACATATCTATATTATTCATTTCCACAAGACTATTTTTTGTTCATTTTTCCAGCCAGAAGAAGTCCGAAAGAAACCTCCACGAGGTGTGATTGAACTAACAGTATGTACACAAAATTTTGTTTGCTTTCCAAATGTTACTGATATTTTATTTTTTGATTAGGACGCTTGGGTTAGTCCGTCTACCGAAGATGATATTACATTCACAGTGCAAACATCAAGTGGTGAAACATTTAAACTAAGAGGTGAATATACTTTTTTTTTTAATGTAAATGGAAATTAATCAGGATGTTGTATTTTCTAGCGAGTGATGCAAAAGAAAGACAAAAATGGATTGATCGTTTACGTTCAAACACCGGGGCAAATGCGGCTGAGACGGTTAGCACGAACCTTTGAGCAAGAGAACAATGTTGTTGATGATTCTTTAATTCTTGTTTAGTATGCTTCGTCATTACCACCACAAAAAGTCGTAAATAGTGTACCTACTAATAATGATTCGTTACCTCGTTCCACGAGACGTGATTCAAGGTTTGTTTGTTTCAATTAGTAAACGAAATTTGTTTGATTTAATTTTCATTAATTTCTTTTCGTTGCAGTGTACATCATTACCAAACACTTAAAGAATTAAAAGAAGTTATAAGATGTACAGATGCTAGTCAACGAGAATTTGTTGAAACAGTTGAAGTAAGAATCTCATTTATCTATTAGTTGCTTATCACATGGATTTTTTTGTTTTATTTTTTAGACTATACCTGATTCTTTACGATTAAATTTATTGAGCAAGGTAGATAGATCGCATTCTTGATGTATGAAAATTATACAAAGAAGCTTTGTTTGTTTTAGGAAATGCTATTGCTGCGATCGACAAGTCAGTCATGCGTTACAACATTGCAAGAAAGCCTCGCCATATTAACCAATAGAAGGCTGGTAGAGCTTAAGTCTAACATTTGTCACTGGTGGCTATTTTCTAACTCAAAAATGTGCTAAATATATAACATGTTTGCTTGTGCAGAAAAAAATAGTTTTCTCTAGGAAAAGTTTTGATACTACAGCAGCAGGTGTTTGTGAATAAATTTATTTAGTTGCTTACCTTTCTAATAGAAACTGCACTTAATAGTTTGTCCAATTGCGTTTTTCTGTAAATCTAACTTTGTCCCTCACTGCATTTTTTAACTATGGTTTTACTGATGTTTTTTACTTTTCCTCTTTAGGACGCCTGAACCTGATTTCGTTCCGCCTCCCTCTCCTTCGCCACAGCCACCATTGGTAGCAAAACAACTAAGTCAATCATATGGCGGCAAAACTGGAATTAGTTTATCGACTCCTCCACCATCGATGCCACTAAACAAAACTTCAAGGTTTGTACAAAAGAAAAGAGAAAAAGTTTTCTGTTACAAAAATATTGATTTTCTTTTTTTAAATTTTAGTCTTACAGGTTTGAATCAGCCAACAAACGAACAAAGTTCCATTTTCTTACCAACGAAATCATTGAAGTGTAAGTGTAGTACTATCATCATGTTACGAATTCACTAATTTTACAAAGTGAAATCTCTTGCATTGTGTTGTGTGAATACCTACAAGTTCTCATTGTTCAATTGTAGAAAATTTACAAGACTCATTCGCAAACGACAGTTAGTTAATTTTATGATGGACATACAACGAATTATTCAAGTCATATCTTTTTTTTTTCTTCTTTTATTTCAACGATCTCAGTTGACAATTTTTGAATGAAATTTATATTTTGATGGCAAGATATTCGGGATCTAAACATTGGATGGGTCAAAAGTGAACAACATTGTTTGGTTAATTTATTCATAATAGTAAAAACTTTTCTGTTCACACTTTATACAAAAATGTAGCCCATCTTTTGGGCTGGACTTTTAGTTGATGTAGAATTATTTTATTTAACATATTTTGTTTGATATGCAGGAACGTTTAAAAAGAGTGTGTCATGATTTACTTCTGATAAATAAGGTAACGCAAAAAAACATTGTAAGCCGAAATATTACGATCATTTTACGACGAGATGTTAGCTCATAACTCCAAGGAAGCAGTAGAAAGTGAATAATATTTAACTCATCCATTTCGAATTTAACAAAATCACAATTACCAGTGATTATTGCACTTTTTGATTTTAGAAGCATTGTTGTTAACTAGAAAGTCTACGTTGAAATGGATCATTGAAAATATATATTATGCACCATGGGAGATCTAATAAAGCTTCGTACACAACTCGATATTCGTTGTTTAAATAACATTTAAACTCAGAATAAAGCAGATCGTTTTTTATATAATTTTTGAAATGAATCCAACGAACAGTTTTCTATACAATATGATTTAAAAAGATTTTATTTTCATGAGGAGACAAGATAAAGAAGCTTCAGCGTCATTCTTCATTCTTGCGAAGTAAATATGGACACTCTTTTAAAATGCTTTTGTAATTAAAATATATTGAATGAAATCGTTATATATCAATCGAAAGGCCAGCATTTTACTATAAAATTTTGATAAGAAAATATTTTTTAATATCACGGAGAAATTAATCATACAACGTTGTTCAGAAACCTTTGACCAGAGATGCAGAATCTACCCGTGAGTTTGGAAAATTTCCCTCGACAAAAAAAGTTTGTCAAAAAAATTCCCCGACATAATCCACGAACAGAATTTCTTTTTTGCAAAAAATTTGAAGAAAAAGATTTTTCAATTTTTCAAACAAAAATTCCTCGAATCAATAAGTTTTCCTCCGATGACTATCGGAGAAAACAGGCAGATTCTGCAGCTCTACTTTCGACTTATTTGTTGTATGGATGCGAACAATAAATAAGCAAAATTCTTACTGAAACAGACAAACCGAACAGTTGAACTGCACACTTTTACACTGTAGATTGAGAGCGAAGTTGATTTTTAATGCGAATACAGTATTTAGTACTTTCAAGCGTCGAAGTAATACTAGTCAATTAAACTGATCAAAGAGGTGCCAATGTTTGACTGTTCTCATTGTTATTGTATATAAATGATAATCGGATAACTTAATCGATTCTGCATTTTTCTATTTTGCGCATTCTTTTCTTCTGCAGCTCTTCATATGCGTATTCATTTTGTCAACTCAAAGTAGAATAAGAATTGTATTTTTCACTTTCAATAACGTACTACAATATTTTTGTGCTAAAATTGGTCCATAAGAATGAATAATAGAGTGGATTACTCATACATTTCCTTCATAATTATCTTTTTTTTTAATGTCTATGTAATATGCTGTTTTTACAGGATTTTTTCTAAATATATTAATCTAACATTTGATTTCTAGTCTTTCTTTCGTTTATGTAATTTCCTACTTTGTGTGCAATAAACCAATTAAAACCTCATCGACATTTTGTAGGTAGTATTTTAGATATTAAGATATCGCTCTTCGGCAGTTATTCTTCAAGTTTGCCTATCATTAGTTTGGATTAGTCTGTTGAAGTTATACATATACACATCAAGCATTGAATTCTGGATGTGAAGCCAGTTAAGGGCCTCCCTTAAGAAATTTGATTTTTCCTTCGAAATCCTCGAAACTGAACCAAGCATATAGTTGAGTATCCTAAACTTTCATCTTTCAGAGTCTATTTCAATCTGCCAAAAATGCAATGTTTTTGAAGATTTTTAAAAAAGACTTCTCAAGGCCCTAGAAACCACCTCTTTTTAAATTTGAAATTTCACGTAAAATTTTTACAGTCATCCATTTTAACAGACATGAAGCTATGTTGAGCACAATGTTCTAATCAAAATGAGGTGTCCCGCAGGTTTGTACGACTTCGCCTTGCAGTGTTATAGCAGTTTTGCTAAAGGCGCTGAATTATAATTAATGAAGTAATGACGTTATTGCTTAGAATATGGTTTTGACGCAGCAAAATTGCTACTCGTCCTAGACAACCTTCATATTTTTTTATTTTAAAGCTAAGACATTTATCTAAATTTCCCCTGTAGGGATTTTTGAATTTCGTTTGCTATGCAGAGAAAAGTGAGAAATACTCCTCCGAGTTTAGGGTTATTTCAGAGTTCTGAGTTAAAATATGTGTAGAAAATGAACGGAAGAGCAATCCAAAAATTGCTACGGACAAAACTTTCATTTGAGACCATCCGTAGCTTTCTGCTCCTTCCAACAAAAAAGCGTTAGCATTTTTGCTAAGAGCCCCATTTTGCCCGTTGTCACCCAATAACTCGGCAATGTTTCGATCTCGAATTTTTAGCATAAGCTAATTGGACAGTAAGTATCAGTCGCTCTAAGCCCCATGGAAATCGGATGTAAGATAAAAAAGTTTTTCTCCTGGGGGCCCTTAATGACAATTTGAATTCAAATCATCAATCAGAGTGTTGATTAGTCGTGTAAGATTCGATTTTTAAACATGGAATGTCATTAGATATCGGCATGGGTCAAGCTTTTGGTCGGACCGGGTTGGACCAGAAAGCTTTTAAGACCGGTTGAGCTGGGCTGGGCTCGGGGCTCAAGTTTTCTTTGTCGGACCAGGCCGAGAACTACTCTTTCTTTCAGAGAGCATATGATTAAATACATGAATAAAACCATTACATTTAGTATAAACATGTTCGTGATGAATATGATAATATTTCTTTTCTAATATGTGGCTGAATAACCAGGTTACCTAGTGTATACAAAGATTGGAAAAAAACCATGGAAATTTAAATGATAGAGTTGTGTTAGAAGCATATTTATAACAATTTATCGATCAAGCCTATTAGCGTCAAAGATGCAAGAGACTGTAAACAACTGAAAAAGATCCGATCGGACTCGGACCTGTACTCTTTGCCCCTGGATAAGGCCGGGCCCTAAAATTTTGAATACTGGTCGGGTCGTGCCGGACTCAGGTCTCAAGTTTTCTTTGTCGGATCGGGCCGAGTCAGAGATTTTTGGCCCGTGCTGATCTCTGTTAAGAATGTAAGAGATATTTGATCTGCCTTTAAATAATTGTTGGTTACATTCTTCTATTTTATGATCTGCATCAATGAAAATTCTCATTACAGTACTTAAATTCATCAGATTTAGACACAGCACGTTCTTTAGGATTTCTAATTGACTAACCCACATATAATACACCTGTCGAAAAAAATGCGTCATGGTAGTTAGCTTATCAGTCGTGGTTTTCAGCTCCTTTGAATAAAGGGTAATTTAGTTTACCTCGATTAATACATGATAGTTACGGAAAAATATATAACAATAAAGGAAAACAAGATGTCGGGGCACCGTTGCTGTTCCGCAGAGTCGCTACTTTCCATTGGTTTCACGCTGACGCAAGCGACTAGTTGTGGAAATCTTAGTTGTAGAATATTGAAAATCTGTATGTATCTCTTCCAGAATCAAATAGCTAAACTGGAAAAGCTTACTGAACATCCTTTGTTTGCTATGATCTATCGATACGTGCAAGCTAAAAGATGAATATACCAAATTTATATTCGTTCGTCTTGATACTAGATTGTACATATTTCAACAATTGAGTATCTTAATTGATACAAGTCTTTCGAATGCAACATCCAGTTGACTGAACTGATGCGACAGCATTTTTAGTATCTTTTGATTGGTGGTCATCCGGGAAACAATCAATGAACTAGTGCTAACAGTTGCTCTTTGGTGAAGAAAGTAAATAAATAAAGGAAATCCATTTGTTTAGCTAGAAAAAAAAGGTAATAACAAGTGCTTGGGTCCTGGCACATTTTGAAAGGTGCCTAGTCAAGTATTTGGAAAGTATTTTTATAAAACAGTATTTAATCAGTAATTGCTGCAAGTAATTTAACAAGTAGTTGAATACTTATGAAATTCATTACAGGTCCAAGTACTTGTCCACAAGTACATTTACTAGGGTTTGTCTTCAGTTGATAAGCTGAGCTATAAACGCTGAGTATACCATTTGACAGAAAATGGTATACCAAATATGGAAAGAGTACAAATTATACTAAATGGTATTGGTAAAGTGGAAGATGAAATATTTCATAATAGACATGAACAAGATAAACAACAGAGACGACGAGAAAAAGAACGATCACAACCTTTGTCTTCAGTTGATAAGCTGAGCTATAAACGCACCTCAACCAATAGGATAACGCTAACTTTTAACTCAGTTTCAATCAAGAACTTGTGTTAATAGTGGAACTTTGTACCTAACTTTTTCTGTTGACATATTTCTACCAAAGTTCTTTTTATTACTCTTTTGATGTTGCTTGGCTTGAGTCATTGTTATTACAGGTCGGTGGCCTTTGATAACTCACACTTTTCGTGAATAAAACAGTCTTAGTCTTAGTCTTAGCAAAAATTAATGTCACATTTTTCTTGTTAAATTTTTTGTTTGATACAATGATAAATCACAAAGTTGAATGATCTTTATCCGTCGCTTTCGAAACCGTCTAACTTATTGGAAATCGTTCTGTATCATAAACGTTGACAAATGTAGCAGCCTTTTTTCGATGTTACTTTTATGTAATTTTTCTGGATTTATCAGTGTTTTTAGCAGAAAGATGTTTCCTCACTGTGTTCGTAGTTGTTAAAATGAGGAGAAAAGGAATGTCTAGCTGAATTTTCGCTATTTTATTTATTTATCTTTCGTTTTAGATTTTTATAGAGGAAAAAAGCTATCAGTGATCATTTAAATATGGGTGTACCGGCATTTTTCCGTTGGTTGACTAGAAAATATCCGTCAATTATTAATAATTGTATCGAAGACAAACCATCAACTGACAATCAAGGTGTTTATCATCCGATGGATACCAGTGGACCGAATCCAAATGGTATCGAAGTAAGAAATATTTAAAAGCATTTTTAGATACAATATGTTGTTTTTTTCTATTTTTTCAGTTCGACAATCTTTATCTTGATATGAATGGTATTATCCATCCATGCACGCATCCTGAAGATCGAGCGCCACCAAAAAATGAAGATGAAATGATGTTAATTATATTTGAATGTATTGATCGTATCTTTTCGATTGTTCGCCCACGAAAATTATTATATATGGCTATTGATGGTGTTGCACCACGAGCAAAAATGAATCAACAACGTTCACGTCGTTTTCGTGCATCAAAAGAAACTGTTGATAAAAATGAACGAATGGAAAAAATAAAAGCTGAAATTCGTGCAAAAGGTGGTTTATTACCAGAAGACAACGTTACAAAGGGTAATGGTGAAGAAAAACAAGAAGAAGAAAGATTTGATTCAAATTGTATTACACCCGGTACACCGTTTATGTTTCGTCTCGCCGATTGTTTACGTTATTATATTCATTTACGTATGAACAATGATCCAGGTTGGAAAAATATCAAAGTTATTTTGTCAGATGCAAATGTACCTGGTGAAGGTGAACACAAAATAATGGATTACATTCGACGTCAACGTGCACAACCAGATCACAATCCAAATACTCATCATGTATTGTGTGGAGCAGATGCTGATTTGATTATGCTCGGTTTGGCTACACATGAGCCGTATTTTACAATAATTCGTGAAGAATTTAAACCCAATAAACCTCGTCCATGTGATATATGCGGTCAAATTGGACATGAAATGAAAGATTGTAAAGGTTTGCCAAAAGAAAAATTTGGTAAAAACGATGAATTAAATTTAAATTTTCATAGTGAAACACAATTCATATTTTTACGCTTATCGATACTTCGAGAATATCTTTATCGTGATTTGAGAATGAATTGTCAACTATCTTTTACGTGGGATATTGAGCGAGCAATTGACGATTGGGTATTCATGTGTTTTTTTGTTGGCAATGATTTTCTTCCACATTTACCATCGTTAGAAATTCGAGAAAATGCTATAGATCGTCTAATTCGTTTGTATAAAGAAAATATACCAAAATTTAATGATTATTTGACAGAAAATGGTATACCAAATATGGAAAGAGTACAAATTATACTAAATGGTATTGGTAAAGTGGAAGATGAAATATTTCATAATAGACATGAACAAGATAAACAACAGAGACGACGAGAAAAAGAACGATCACAACCACAAAATAAACGACATCGAGCAATGACAGATCCATCAACGTAAGTTTTAAAATGAAACAAACATAGAAAAACTCCGAATATTTCATTAACTTATGCATACAGGTTGACTGAAATAGTTTAGGCGCTAATCTCGTGCATCATGATATATTGTTGTTTTCAATATTTTAGTACTATCGAAATGCCTGTTTGGATGCAATGTCGTGTATTAGAACCACAACCCATTACTCAACGACCAACAACAAATAGTATAACGAATCCAGCTCAAGCAAATGCTCAGTTGAGACAAATGCAAGGAATGAATTCAAATACTGCTAGTGAAAGCCAAACAACGTCAACTTCACAAAGAGGAGCAAAACGTAAATATGACGAAGCAGAAGGACAAGAAGCAAACGAACAACAAGACGAAGAGGATGAAGATGCGAATGATTCGGTTCGTTTATGGGAAGATGGTTGGCGTGACCGTTATTATAAAAATAAATTTAATGTGAACAAAAATGAAAGTGATACATTTCGAGCTGAAGTTGCGCGTCATTATGCACGTGGTTTATGTTGGGTATTACAATATTATTACCAAGGTGTACCAGGTAGGAGACATTTATTCTTTTCTAATTAGACAATCATTTTCGTCTTTATGTTTTAGCGTGGGATTGGTATTTTCCATATCATTATGCTCCGTTTGCATCAGATTTTATTAATCTGAAAGATTTGTCAACAAAATTTGATAAGCAAACAAAACCATTTAAACCGTTAGAACAATTGATGGCTGTATTTCCATCTCAATCTCGACAATTTTTACCAGAAAAATGGCAAATTTTAATGTACGATAAACAGTCACCAATTATCGATTTTTATCCTACTAATTTTTCGGTCGATTTAAATGGTAAACGTTATGAATGGCAAGGTGTTGCTCTATTACCATTTGTTGATGAAAAACGTTTACATCGTACATTAGAAACAGTTTATATGACATTAACTCCAAATGAAAATAAACGTAACACAAGAGGCTATGATAGTATGTACATACATCGTCAAAGTGAATGTTTTGACTATTTTAATGAATTGTATGCCGATAAAGAACAAATTGTTAAGAGAAAAAATGCTATTGATATTCCAACACAACAGAGTAATGGTATTAGTGGAAAAATATGGTGTGATGAATATGTTGTTCGTACTGATGAAATAATGCCATCCCCATTAAAACAATGTGAAAATATCAAGCAGAATCAAGTGATCAGTGTCAAATATCGTGATCCACAATATTCAGATGATTATCTATTCAAATCACAGTTACTAAAAAATGTTACTATACCTACACCAACACTGAAACCATTAAATTACGATAATAACAGACCATATCGTCCGAATTTAGGTTTCGCTCAACAGCCACAATTTCAACGAGATTTTCAACCAGCACAACGTTTTATTAATCATTCTCTAGGTGGTCATCAACAGAATTCCTATCAATATAATCAACGACAACAACAGGGTAATATGGGAAATCAATATCAACAGTCATCTTCTTATCGTCACCATCATCGTTCACAGTCGGATAATTCATCTTTTGGGCAATATAACGAACATGGCGGTCACCAACAACAGCAGCGGCAGCAGCAGCAATCTTATTGGACGGATGCGCCTGCCGGTTCCAGTAGACCTCGTTTTAGTCATAACAATAACAACTCATACCGTCCAAATAATAATGGACGAGGATCATGGCAAAATCAACGATATTAATTTATTTGTTTATTTTGTTGGATTTATAATTGTGAAAAGCCTTTTTTGTAGATTTTCTGTGCCAACGAAAGAAACATATTTTTATTGTGAATTTCCTTTTGTAAAGGGTTTTTTTCTTTTCATTGTTACTATTTTCAGCGAAAATGGTCATTTCAAATATTTGATAATAACTCACACAATTGGGAAAGCGACAAGAAATCTTAATGCTAACTGCAAAAACTAACTTCTGTATATTCCAATGAATATGTTATAAGCGCTCATATTCCAAATTTTAGCTTGTTCAAAGATATATTTTATTAAGGTTTGAGTTTCGAAGATAAGTATTTAACTATTAAGAGTAATGAAAACTAAATTTTTGCAATGAAGAGAACGACTATCAAAAAGAAGTCGTTTATAAAACCATGACTATTTGTTTAGCATGTGAGTATTTTTCTTAAGGTATCAATTGGTCTATCGTTTTGATTTTAAACAAGTGTGATATCGTATTTACAGTCAATTACAACGTTTTTCGCTAAACTGTAGATAATTGTAACATAAAATCTTTCATGCCGCTTGAAAAAAGATCAAAAATGAATGTTTTAACATTCATGGATGAGACAAATATTGATGAGAAAAAAATTAAATATCCCACGTTCGATTTGCTTCGTCGTGCATTAAAAGAACAACGTCGAATTGAAGTACTCGTAAGAGATTGTCGTGGAATCTATGCTGTATTAATTGGATGGCTATTAGCATTTGACAAACAGATGAATTTAATATTGTCGGATGTTGATGAAGTATTTCGACGATTAACAGATGGTAAAGACTTTATTCAATATGGGGCAAATGATAATAATGTCAATAAACATGAACAACAAATAGGTAAAGAAAGAAAAAAATCAAACTGATTAAGATTTATTTTTCGTTCAAATCAACTTTTGATTTCAGCCGATGAGAAGAAAAACGATAACAAAATGAGTATGAAACCAGTGGCAGATTACGATACATTTCGTCAACAATTAACAAATTTTTTAAAACATAATCCAAAAAAACCGTTAGAAATAGTGAAGAAAAATGTAGTAAAAAAGGAAATTATTTCGGATGATGAAGAAGAGGATGAATTCACGAGCGAATGTCAACCAGAAAATTTACTTCGCATTCATTTATTGAATACTGAAAAATCTTCTTCATCAATTCCACCACAAATAGTTAGTAAAAGAGCCAAACCACGATTTTTCTCTAGACATATACCAAAATTATTTGTAAAAGGAAACGAAATTTGTTTAGTTCGACTTTTACTTTGTTAATATCATCACTTTTTTCCCTAAAACGTGTATATTTTCTAAGTTTATTACTGTTTTCTTACCTTTTTGCTTGTATCTTTTTTTTTTTTTGTTGAAATAAATACAAAGACCTTTTGTATAAAATATAATTTTAGGGTACACTATATAATTCTCCATTATATCCAAAAAACAAAATACTTTTATTTAATGAATAGTTTGAGCAATTTTTGTTTTATTTTGCTGAAATGTAGAAAAAAAAATCGTTGTCATATGTGTTTGATATAACAAATAAACACAAATAAACACTCTTTTTAGCAGAACACATACGTAAATTAAGTTATTTGAAAAGAAAAAATGGCAAACATTTCTCTACAGAATGTAATGATTTATACGTTCGGACTTTACATATTAAATAATAATTTTTTGTTCTAAAAACGATTCATTTTGTAAAACTAGAAGAAGACAATAAAGAATCACATAAAGTATGATGGGGGTGTGTATTCAAAGAAGAGATAAAAAAATGAAGAGAAAATACGAAAGACAAGATGATCGCATCAACCATAAAAATAACAAGATCATGAAGAAGAAAGATATAAACACATACATTATTCTCTTGCGAATAACTCTATTTTTAGTGGAATATCGGGAAATATAAATAAATGTTTATTTAATCAGTTGAATCTTTACAAACAGCTTTTATATTTGATACTAATGATTTTAATGGTTTTGCTTTGCTTATCCATACATGATGCAATAGTTCATCTGTATCAGAACGTTTTTGTGGATCAACAGTTAAACAACGTTTCAAAAAATTACTCAATTCAGAAGAGATACGTTTTTGTCCATCTTCTGTAAGTTTTGGTGGTTCTTCTTGTAATGCTATTTTACACATGGCACGAAATGGTTGCTCATTGATATATGGAGGAGAACCATCAATCATTTCAATCATCATTATTCCTAACGACCAGATATCCACTTTGCGATCATATTTTAATCTAAAACAAATAAAAAATATGAATTAAAAAAATCTTAGAAATAAAATTTGATTACTTTTTAATAACTTCTGGTGCCATCCAGTATGGTGTTCCGACCATTGTTTGTCTTAGCGATTCAGTATTAGCCAATTGTGCACAAAATCCAAAATCGGTTAATTTTACTGAACCATCAAAACCAACTAGTACATTCTAAAGAAGAAAATAAACTATTATCAATTTTACCAGTCTTTTCTGATAAAATTTACATCCGATTTAACGTCTCGATGAATGATATTTTTTGAATGTAGAAATCGTAATGCTCCTAGACATTCTTTCGTAATGGCTGCCATTTGTCCTTCATCTAAAATAGTTTGTTCAACAATTTGTGTCAATTGACCACCTTGCATAAATTCCATCACAATCCATAACTCATTTGGTCGTAAATAACAGTCAAGAAAATTGACAATAGAAGGAAATCGATATTGACTCATAACATTAATTTCACTAACAATCAATTCTTTTCTCGGTTGTTTTGACCATAGCATACGTTTAATGGCAATTTTTGTATTTGTTTTTGTATCTAGAGCTAAATCAACATCACCAGCAGCACTAAACAAATATAAACAATATAAACAACATAATTAGAATTAAAAGAAAAACTAACCCTGATCCAAGTTTACGTATAATGGTATAACGTGTTTTTGGATCATCTTTGGCCGCAACAAGTTCTAGAAGGAAATAAATAGTTAATAAATCAATCCAGTGTGCCATCAAGAGTGTTCACCAAAACAATTGTACGTACCCAATTCCTTAACAGCCTCTTCTTCAGTCATTCGTTTTTTTGAATGTCTGGCTTTATGTCGTTGTACAAGAGGTGTGTCATGATCGTTATTATTATTATTATTATTATCCGTCATTTTTTGTTCTGTATTTTCTTTGTTAATGATAGGAAAGGGTTGTGTTGGTGACGGTGTGGTATTCTTTTTGAATTTGTTCGTTATTGCTGAGGTTTTTGGTGGTAATTCTGGTGGTAAACGTGGTGCTTTATTATTTATTTTCGTAATCGTAGTAAGAATATGACCATCATTCAGATCACGTGGTGGAAGGGGAGGTGGTAGATTATTTCCTCCTCGCTTGGAATCATCATACGTATTTAGTTGTAGTGGTGAAAACGAATGATACTCATTCACAAGTGTGTCACGATCTGTTTGAGTAACATAATTATTTACAGTTAAATGTTATGAAATTGGTGTATTCGGAGATAAACTACCTGGAGTTTGTGAGTTTGAATTTTGATAAAAATTAACTAGTGGTTCCGATAGTGAATCATCAGTCTGAAAAAAAGAATTTAAAAAATCTCCAGTTAACTCTCTATGTAAGACGAGTTAGTGACTTCCCCTTACTTCATGCACACTTTGCTTTCGAATAGATTGTACACGTTTAAGTTCTTGTATAATCTGCTGATTCTTAAAAGATTGAATTAATTCAGTGTGAATCATTACATTATCCATAAACTGATTAGAAAAATACCTTCAAAGTATTTTGCGTTCCACCAAGTCTATTTGACGGATAAGCTTCAAATTAAAAATAGAATTTAATTTTTTTGTTTTTTCATTGTAAAGTAAGTCTATTAAACAACATACAATTATTGTCAACTGGACCATTAGTTTTGTGAATAGTATCTAAACGTTCCTGAGATGACATATCACTTTCTGATTCACTAAAATAAAATTATAACATTTTAGAAACAATCAAAAAAGTCTATTTTAATCTAAACGCTTTGCCTCAATTCATCGCCTGACTCATACGACACACCATCGGCTTGTTCAAATGCATCTTGTATTTTCATATGTTTAGGATGATCTAAAACATCAAATAATAAATTAGGTATTTTTATGTTCAATTACTTTATTAAGAAATAGACATACGAGCTTCACGAATTGTCTTATGCATGACTTTCATTGCACCGTTCATTACACGAAATGTATTCTCTGGTTCCGATTGTCTTAAAAAAGGAAATAATACAAATAAAAATAAGAGGAAATAGGCTAAAAAATACCAATTTCTTACCCAAATAAACCTTGAACCTGTTTCTCCCATTCGGTAGGTAGACCCTGAAATGTTTTTGTTGCTTCGTCATATGTAACATGAACATTCGTTTTAACATTATGGGGCATCGATATTTCATTTATTTGTTGTTGTTCTTGTTTTTTGCCAAAAAATTTCATTATATTTAAACTCATTTTAACACCACTAATAATAAATAAGTAGTTCGATTAAATATTTAAAAATCAACTAAACACTGATCTTACAAATATATTTTTCTTCTTTTTTTGTCTGAATTTTGAACATTCGAAGCGTTTTGAAAAACAAGAGTATGTATATGTGTATATACTACATAATCATTATATTTTAAGTTTTATTTCTGATTAAACGTCTTTTATGTGAACGTCTGTATTTTTTCGATTAATGCGGGTGTGACTAAATATAAGCAGAGAAATATGGCATTTTTTTCTTTTTTCGTTCTTTTTCATCTTTAGCCTGTTACAGAAAGAAGATGAAGAGTTAAACTAGCTTTAAACTTTTTTTTTCTTTCGTTTCGTTTTCTTTTTACCGTGTACACCAACTATTGATGGATAGGTGCTTAAGAATCAACTCAGAGAAAGGAGAAAAGAGAGATACGAACGATAGTTTCATTAAAAAAGAAAACCTCTTATGAATCATCATTTGTTTCAAACACCAGACAAATTTGTCAAACAAATTTGATTAATCATCGAAGGTAATTTTGTAAATATAGCAGTTAGATAAAATATCACAACATAAAAATTCTTTTTTATCATAATACGCTAAACATGTTGCTTATTGGGATATACTATACACTCAAACAAGAGAGTTTATAAAATGTTTCAAGGGTGACTCAGTGTACAATATTTTTTAACTTATCAGAAAATTCAAAATTAAGATAAATAAGGACTAAATCGTCAGAAATTTATTTCAATAAATAAAAATCATAGTAGGTGGTTTTCTTTTTTATAGAAAAAACGAGATTTAAACCGGAAATACATTTCAAAAGTTTATCATGAAACAATTTAGCCCTATTTTTTTCTTTTGTTAAGAGTATAAGAAGAATTAAATAAAAAACAACCCACCTTTTTGACTGTTGTCTTATCTCATCTCGATTATTATTATTCACATTCGTATTGTTTACTAATTTAAAAGTTTTTATAAGGCCAACATTTTCTTTTAGTTTCAAGTGATGATTACGGTCCACTTCACACATCAATTAAACAATTATTTTTTAGGCTTTTTTTTTTTTGTTGAAAAACAAAGAAAAAGGCTCATCGATTAAATCTCATACACCTGACTGCTGCCTTGAACAAACGCACGTACAATGATTAGACACAAAAGTTAAAAGTTTTCTTTTTTTCTACATCTACTACCTTGTTTAACATGAAAAAAAAAAATAAGAATTTCGAAAAGATCAAGACCATGTAACTAATACACTATCATGGTCAACTGTCTGATGTGTAAAAAAAATAAACGTTGATAAAAGATTGAAGAAGGAACGAAAAAAGAAAATTACTATACGAAATATCTGTATGAAATAGGAGATCAAAAATTTTGAGAACCAAAAAAAAAAAAAAATCCGGCACGTAATCTCAAGATGAACAAATAAAAATTGTCCTTGTCACATTATATTATTCTCTTTTTTTTTTTTGTCACCAAACATACAGGATGGAGATTCTTAGGTAATGATAAATGAACGAAAAAAAAAAACCCTCGAAATAATATAAACATTCACCAAATTATTATATTATCATAAATTATATGAACGCGATTGAACACGTTCTCTATGTCATAAAGTAGAAGGAGAAATAAAACTATCTTTCTTCTACACTTCTTTCTTACTCACCTGTTTTATTTAGTCGCTGAAGAAAAATAAAATCATTTCCTTGTTCTATACAACACCATACCAACAGAGAGATAAATTTTCTGGATATAAGTTGAGCAATAAAAAGTAAATAAAATGCTGAAATAAAAATAATACACGTAAAACATCAAATCGCATAATTATCACAAAAGAAAAGCCAGGGTCATGCAAAAAAAAAACGGATGAAACCATTTTTTTTTTTTTTTTTTTGACAACAAGGATCTATCTGACAAAAAGAAGGGAAAAGAAAAAAGGTTTAAAATTTTCAATTTGAAAACGCATGCGTGTATTATATTTCGACTTCAGACGATTAAAATTTGATCGGGATAAAATATTTTTTTCTGATCGAACAACATGAACGAATAATTTTCTTTATTTCATTTATTTTTAGAAATTATTTTTTAAGCAAATTTAATGAGGATGCTATTACATAACAATCAATATATGCAAAGCAAAATGAAGTAATAAATGAGACACCATAGAGAAAAGACTTATTATAAATAGCTCATGCAAATAAAGAAAAGCATGCCTATCAACAAAATACATTATTTATATTCAAATGTTTTCTTAACAAGATTAGTCGTAAAATAACTGTAATATAATTTATAACTGTAAATCTTTTTAACTATGGTACAAATCTATTGACTCATTTAGAGTAACAGTAACATCTTAAATTAATCTTTCTTTTTATTTTATGTTTTTATTTTAATTTTACTATCAGTTTCACAAATAAAACGAAAAAGAAAGAAAAACCCCGTTGAACACAAAAATAGTTGCACTTCAAATACAGAAACGAAAAACGTTTTTTTTTTTTTTGCTTTTTTTTGTCTCAAATGTCTTATTGTCATTCTGAAAAAATGAATTGAATTATCCCTGCAGAAAAAAAAACACTAAGCAACATATAGATCAAAACAAGCATCTATCATATTTTCCAAGAAATAAAAGTAAAATCACTGAGCCAAAAAAAAAAGAAATACACACAGCAAGAACAAAAACGAATAAACGACAAACAGCATAGAAATGTACTCGCATTAGATCAACAAATTAGTATTTGTGTTAATTAATTAATCTTAAATATAGATACACACAAACGCACACATACAAACAAATCGTAACTGTACAAATAATTTGTGATTAATTATTAAAGAAATATACCATAAATAGATAGTAAATGACTACAGAGAATATTTTCTGTATTTGAGCAAATCAATGTTTTGTTATCTGCCGTTAAGTGATACATAAATTTAAATATTCTTCTACTGTTTTTCTGTCATTAAAAAAACAGAAAATACTGCTGCCAGTATGTTATAAGTCTCAAAAAAAAAGAAAGAAAAAAAGAAAAGAAAGTAGAGATTCCAGATAGTGGCTAATATACAGCGAAAATAAAGTTAAATTTTGTGGTTTTAATTTTAAAATTATTTATTTAAAATCGATTATTTCGATCACGATGTTTTCGATCTTGTTGAGGATAATGTGATGCTTTTCTTTTCTGATGCGGACGATTATTATCATCATCATTTGGTAATGGTGAATCTGGTACGTCCGTTAAATCAATCGTATCTGATCGATGAAATTCACGTGGTGGTGGTGGTGGTGGTAGTGGTGAAGTAGACACTGTTTGTTTTCGTTGTTGATTTTTACGATTACGAGGAGCAGATGAAACATCTTCGATTGCAAGTAATGGTGGCGGTTGTCGATGATTAATCAGAGCCATAGTTGGTTGTCTTAAACCACCCGAACGTTGTCTCCATTCATTTTTAAAACCTTCTGTTTCTTCTTCATCCAAATTTTCTAGTTCAACATTCTCTGATATTTGTCCCGTTTCAGCATTCAATTCACGTTCAATAACATGTTTTCTATCACCAATTCGTCGGCCAACGTGCATTTTATTAATTCCTCGTTCGGAATCTCTAACAGCCTGACGTGTCTCTTCAATACCACCTGGACCTCGACTTCTCGATGTTGATTCTTGATATACCTAAAAAAACAGAGTAGACGTAGAGAGAAAGAAAGCATATAAGGAAAAAAACAAACAAGCACTCATACTTTTGGTCTCCCATCAGGACCCGCGCCGTAACTCATAACCGTTGTGGATGTAAATGAATGAATTGGAGCATTAGTATCACTAATTGATGGTGTCGGATGGAATAGACGTGGAGGATCCATCACTGAACGCATGTTACCCATCATTGCATCCATCAATGAAAACGGACTTGATGAAAATTCACCCAATAGGTCACCGCCAAATGGGTTATGAGGTATAAATGGTTGAAGTGCTAATGAATGTGAAGAAAATAATGGATTCATTGCATTATTGGGATTGCCCGAACGATTTCGACCAAATAGGTCGGGAAAAAACATTTTTAAATAGTTAATTAATTAAAAGTACAATCAAATATTCATTCAAAAAACTCAAAGTTTTATCTAGAAAAAATAAAGATCAGTACATAAAAGTAGAAAACAACTCTTTGTATCTGTGAAACTCTTAGTGAAGATTTTAACAAGTTCTAAACATGACAAAGACGGGTAATACCGTAAGCGAAGAAAGATTTATTAAGATTTTGCAAGTGTAACGGTCTTAATTCTTCAAAATCATAAGAAGTTTACAGCACTTTTCTACTATGAATACTAATCATTTTTAGTTCCAATTTCTGACTCTCACTCTCCTAGTCAAATCACAAACAGAAATAGCAACTGTTTCAACTCTAAAATAATCGGTTTTTTTATCATTTTATTTTACCTATACAAATAAAATACAAAATTTTAGTCAGTGTTTTTAAACTGTTCGACAACAACAGCAACAACACAAAAATAATAATAGCCACCAGAAATAAAAAACGGATTATTTCGATATAATTATGTAGTTGCACGAGAAACCCTGATTTTTTAGATACAATTAATGAATTTTATAAACACGTGCCAGCGGAACAGCATTGAAAATTAACAATAATATAACTAGTATATGAAAAAATAACAATAACATATTGATCACACATGTGAAGTTAGAAAAATCCCATAGATGGGAGAGCGCGCACGCACGAATATAGTAAATTTTGATTTAATATAAAGTGTTAAAAATACAACAACAAAATAATGCTCCGAAAAAGAAAAAATGTGAGAGAGCAATAAATTTGAGACTAATCTAGAAAGAAATATCCCTTACACCCTGGTTGTTTGAAAGAACAACAAAAAGAAAAATCATTTTATACTACACGACTACCACTACTACTTCTATTATGACTACAACTACTTGTATGTTACCGTTTTATTTACAGTCTTTGAGCAGAAAAACAACAACCATCAATATGACTAGTTCTTTGTATCACAAAATAAATATAGAAAGAATATCTGAATTCACAATCGTAAAATATATTGTTCATCATTAATAAGTACTTCTTGTCGAATTATACTTTCTAGAATAAAATCAATACGATAAGTATTAATTGTTAAACCATTTTTTAATTCTTTTAATAATATTTTATCTTCATCACATGATATTAGTATTACACTAGGTATATGTGTTTTTGGATCACGGGTAATGAGTTGTCTTAATGAGGGAAATTCACGTATAATATTAGCACCTGTTGAATAAATAATAGATTTTAAAATGGATATTGATGGTTGAACACTTGGTGTAAGAAAAAATGTATAACCAGAAAACAAGAGTTTATTATTTCTTGATAAACGTTTTTCAGTTGATAAACGTAAGATTGTATTTGGTTTATAATCATTGTAAAGTAAATAATCATCATCTGATGGTGTAACAAAATGTTTTTCACGATCACATTTATCTAACCAATTTGTATTAAGAATGTATGTAACATAATTTAAACATTCATATAATTTTTCTGTACGTAAACATTTTTTCATTACTAAATGTGTAGTACAATGAGGTAACAATGATATTTGACCACCTAAATTTTTGATAATTTCTTCATAACGAGCTAGAGATTGTTTATTAAAACCACTTAACATCACTGATACGTCTGTTAATGTTGTTATTGCTGATGTTGTTTTATCTTGGGGTATACATGGTTCATTATACGTACGACGTATCTTTTTTGATGCAGATTCCATGTCACCATTTGTATTATCTTCCGCTATAGGCAGAGAAGGAATTGTAGATGGATCCGGTTCCTGTTTTTCGTTATGTTTTTTTATTGCAATATTTAACATATGATCAGTAACCTGCAGTGGTTTTAACCATGCTGTTAATAAATCACGAACATATATAGAATCAAATGAAAAATGATCAATTCCCTTTATCAAACGAGTATAACGTTCATCAATGGGTGTTTTCAGTGCACACGTATTTCCTAAATACAATTCTGATAACCATATACCATTTACAATCGATATTGACCATTCTAATGCTTTATCATATTTATCACCATTCTTTTCTTCTTTACATATTAAATGTGAATGCCATTTACCAAGAAAACCGGTATATTTTCCGCCCAATGATCGAATTAAAAAACGTAGACGAGCACGTTCAATACCTAGACGAGAAAAAGTAAAATCATAGATCGAACTAACTAAATAGATAATCTTACCTTCGAAACCCGATAACGTTATCAAATATTTTGCTAATGGTAACTGATTAACATCACTCATATCAAACGGAGCTGGAAAATGAATAGCCAAATTAGGTACAAATAATTTTTTTCTCTGTAAAACATCATTTAACCAATGCGCTAAAAATACATACAATTTAAAATGCCAAAAAACAAAAAACACAAGTATTTTCCTTTCACATTACCTGTCACCATTCGTACATTTCCACGTCCGTAAATAACACGAAATAATTCACTCGTTCGATAAGCACAAACAAAATGTGTTAAATTTACATTATTTTCATCATCAGTAATTATTCCTCCATTATTACATATCGTTTGTGACCATGATAATAAATCATTTGTTGATACAGTTGGAATGTATTCTTTTTCATAAATAAATAAAATACAACCAAGTAAACATTGAGTGCTGGGAATTTGTTCATGTTTAGTTTGGGTGAAATATTTCAATTCTGACAATGTTTTTGGCGGTGGTTTAGGCATTTCAATTATCGTTGGACAAAATGTTTTCTGTTCAAGTTCGGTTGGAATAATAAATTTGGCCGGATCAATTGAAGATGTTTTTTTCAGTCCATGTTGCTGTGGTATTGTCATTTTTGTTCGTAAAGGTTTTGAAACTTCTACTTCACCATCAAATTCTTGTTCTTCTTCAATATGATCATCCTAAACAAAAAAATAAAAATAAGATCGTGCATGAAAAGTGTTATTACGCAATTTTATGATGCTACCTCAGGCGTGTCATCTAATGAATTATTATCACCATCTTCATTAACCTCCATTTGATTAAAAAAGTTTTTCGTTGATAAGTGTGTCTTATGATGAGGTGCCGCTTTTACTACCGACGAAGTATCACCCAGTGAATTGTTTTCAGTTGGTATAACATCTGTTTTTAATGGCGCCTCCGATGTCTCTTCTTTAGCTAAATCAAGCAATAAATCGGGATGATATTTTCGTTCATCGAGTCGTTCGTTTGTTTTCAAACAATCCATAACCCAATCGGGCGTTATAAGAAAAACAGAAGACACGTCTATTTGATAGGCGTCATATAAACGTTTGTTTGTATTATTGTTATTATCATCGTTCGATAGTTTAGATGAACAGAGGATATGTGTACATTTCAGCTGTTCAATATCACTCGACCATTTACCACCATAATATGTGACAAGCGCCCATAATTTATAATTATCCGTGGGACTTAAATTGGCATTTGCAAATGTGAAATGTTCAAATAATAATTTTCCATCAGCATAATATGGTTCTACTGGTAAAAAGGAATTATATTTTGAACAATTAATGATCCAGTCTGATTTGATAATTGGTATACAATAAATATCTTTGGCTGAATCACATTCGTCTCTATTTGATTCATAATCGTCACATAGGACATGTGTAACACTTTGTGTCAGATACGATGAACGAATGGCACCTTCACGTTTTAATAACAATTCAATATTGGAATCAATCGAACCGATGACATAATAACGGACGGATGAAAATAATTTTAAAGTGTTTGGTGTCATTCTATGGCATTTACGTTAAAAAATAATCAGCAGACATCAAGATGTCGAGTTGAGACACTTTCGTCTAAACAAGAAAATCAGGTCTAAACTAAGAAGAACAAAACAAGAGATAGTCGGAAGTAAACATCAGCTAGTGGTCAAAGACTTTTTTCGAAAAAGACCGACTCTTAATAACAGCCAGTTTAAGATCAAGTGAGGTAGAGCAATTCTCAAAGTTTGCCTGGGATTGCTTTTAACAGTAATTCGATCAAAATGACGCCTAAAGTTAATTCGTCATTATCAATAGACAGTTTTGAATTTCTAGGGGGGAAGGGGAGGAAGTGCCCAATATGATGCAGCATTTATGATCGCTGTCAGATAACAGGGAGTACACTTAGAAAACAACACTATATTTAAGTGGATCGAGTTGTCCATGTGGCTCAAGAATCTCTTACAACTAACATTCACTTATATTTAAAAGTATCTAGTTCATTTTATCACATCAGTATTCAGCTGAAATTTCCAAAATCTGGATCTTATTTCTCCGAACAAAAGATCTTCACTTCGACAATGCAGAAGACGGTATTCGTTTCCATTTATAATCCGAAAAAACAATTTTCAAAGTCGATTCTAAAAGAGAAATAGTAAACAAAGCATAATCAAACTGCTGGTTAACTCATACTGCAAAGAAAAATTTCGTATTAGGCTGTCTTCAGTTTGATTTCAACTTGTTGAAGAACTCATTTCGGATTAAAATGACTTTAATTGGAATATCCGAAAAAAAACAACGCAAAAACGTTTGAATTCTTATTTTATGTATAGTAAAAAAGCAGTTTGAGCATATGTGACGATATTGAACTGTTGCTGCTGATATATGCATGGCATGATTCTGACTTACAACCATTGCAACGTCACTTCGACCTCTAGCACAAGGTCACTCATTTCTTATTTGAGCGAATAGTTGAGCCTTTTACCTATAACTTCTTAATCTTCTGCAACTGCCTCACAGAACTTCGAATAATCACGTTAATGACCATTAGCGACGAATATTCATGGCGTTCATGGAATCTCTGAACCCGCCATTTGACTTCTGGAAACGTGGAGGCGCTCTATTTCTTATCATGGAAAGTTTGTAATTCCGCGCGCGCATTAAAAAATGTCTCATGAATTCATCGCATAATACATATTTAAACAATTTTAGAGTAATTGACGACAATGATCGCAAGTATGCCTTGTCTTACTCGATAGAGTAGAAAATAAAATCTACTACTCTATCATTTTCAACTTGTTATTCAACTTTTTTTCCGTTAATGTATTGTATGTGAGTATTGGGATGGTAAAAATCAACTTGAAGAACTGATTTGAAATCGAGTTCAATAGAAATGTATCGCGCCTTCAACTTTCGTCATGAGAAGGTTTTAAAATAAGCAATCGACTTTTTGGGTAGGATTTCTAGCAGTTTTTCAAAAGCATATTTTTCGAAAACAAAATTAGAACCAAAGATAGAATACGAACTATCTGCGGTCAAATCTGGACAATTTGACTATATGACTATATTATATAGAACAATTATTTCCGCAGATGCGTCGGACCGCGTCTCATTGCTCAAATATAACATGACCTACTGATCTAAGAATTGAGTCCTGCGGTAACAAAAGATTCCATTACCATACCATTACCATTGGTAAAAAAAAGTAAATAATAAAAGTAATAACGTTCAGACTAGTCTATCATCTTACATATTCTTTATTTTCTGCCTTATGCACGTGTTTATGTTTTTTTACTTTCCCTTCTGTGGGAATATGTTCTGTCACCATGATAATGGTAATGATAAAAAATAATTCTACACATGGTAATGGTATGGTAAATGGTAACGAAAAAGTCATGGTAACAAGACTCTACCTGAGAATGATTGTTTTCCAAAATGCAATTGAAAAAAAGATTATAACTTCTTCAAGATTAGTGTGTTAGCTGCAGCAGTGTCCTAGTGAAAGTACCCATACTATGAGTACGACTTTACTCATAATTTGTCCATGAGTAGTCATATGAATTCAACTAACAATTTTTGAGTATTTTTACTCAGTGTACCCAGAAAATATTCATTCACCGTTTTATTTTGCAAAAATGAAACTGTATAAAGAACGTAGAATTTAGTAAAGAAACATAGAATATTTATATTATTTTTTTCTTGGTAGTCTCTCTGTATATAGTCAGAGATGGACTCGTTTGTGGATAGCTTGTAGTCCAACTCTAGCTGCCTGACATCACTCCTTTATATGAAAATACCAGATGTACAATACTCATGAGTACTCAACAATACTCAAGCTTTAGTACATCCACTAGAGAATTCTTTTACCTTAGCTTTTGTATTATATAGAAAAAACAGAAAAAACTTTGTTATTCTATGTTGAACAACAACATGAAAGAAATATGTTCGTACTAGTTTTCCAGAGACCGGATTTCTGCAAAACCTATACAAATACACTTTGAAAGTTTGAAAACCACGCCATTGAAAAGAGCATGTACGAAGACCTATGAAAAGAGTATTTAGAGGCTTTCGTGCTACTTTTCTAGGACATGTCCATGTGCCAAGTCAAAATTGCTATGTCCGTCGCATTACACTGGATCCAAGCATTGTTTGTTCAGAAAACTTCATATTCACAGTACTCGATGCAGTTTTTCATGTTGCTTCCGAATATCATATTATTTTTTAATATAAGTGCTCCTGACTAGGGGTGGCACATTACTATTACTGTTACCAGTAATACAAATATTGTATATATTACCGTTACTGGTAGCAGTAATACTGAACAGTATACCTATTGTCAGTAACAGTAATACTGGCAGTATTAGTGTTACCAGTAACAGTAATATTCATAAAATTAGTATTACTTTTCAGTAAAGTAATACGAGAAAAAAAATTCAGTAGGAGCGCTACTATCAACACGAAACTATCATATTATTTCGTATTGATTGTGGCGCCACCTATTGATTTTTTTCCTTGTACTACTTTACTGAAAGGTAATACTAATTTTATGAATATTACTGTTACTGGTAACATTAATACTGCTAGTATTACTGTTACTGGTAATAGGAATACATGGAAGATTACTGTTACCAGTAACAGTAATATATACCTTTTAGTATTACTTTCCACGGTAATATAATACATGAGTAATAGTAATACTGCCACCCCTACTCCGGACTGAGGAAAATGGAAAATACCTGAAAATCCAGGAATTTTTGGAAAACCTATAACTCGACTTTGAAAAATATGCGCATTCACAATAGACACACCATATATCGACGAATATTCTGGCAAATTTTCGTCCTTTGGAGCTTTGCAAACTGATTACACAGCAACCATCTTTTGGGAAACAATCATAGTTTAGAAAATATTTTTTACTCTGAAACTGTAAAGCCCTGATAAGATTTTTTTACTAATAGATAGCTAAAAGCGTGTAGATTTCAAATATATACTTTCTATAATTTTTAATTGGCTTAATCCAACAAAAAAATGGTTTTCAGATAGAGATCGTTAATATATATACACAGCATTTTTAATTATAATAATAAACTGGGTTTTTCCTTTCTGCAAAAGTGACATTTTCTATAACGATTTTCGCGGGAACTAGAAGAGGTAGAACAAAATTTTAAATACGAATAGGGAACTGTGTGTCTGAATTAATAAATAAGCTATTTTCAGTCTTTGCAGATGTTCCAGTGGAGAGTTAGGACGTTCGAAAGTACGTGATGTGAACGCCTGGGACTTTTGATTTTTTTTCCAAAAGAAAAACGATAATTAATCTGAGTCAATCATATGCATGTGAATTTATAAGAGAGTACTTTCCCATACTATGTGATTCATTTCACGACGATGTTTTTATATACAAGTAATCTGCATTTTCTTCATCAATATGGTACGGCTGCTGTACGTTATTAACTTCGCACTGCATTTGCAACTTTCGCTGGTGTGATTGCCGTCTAGCTCCTCATATATTTTTTCCCGAAACTTGGAACGAAAATTTTTACGCCATTAGATAGCCCAGCGATCGAAGAATATTTTTACCGTTACCGTTACTGCAGTAACGGAGGTAACGGTCCACTCTCTACTTGCGAACGAGAATACAAATTCTGTTGTATCTCAGTTTGTAAGAAAAAATCCATCTCATGCAACCGATTCAAAAAGCATCAGAATAGGTAGTTTTGGTGCTATTTTTTTATTTTTGATAAATGTCCAAAAAGATGATGATGTATAATTGAGATTGGATGACAATATCACAATTGAGATACCTGCATGTACGAAAAACTCGACTTTCAATGCAATTTCAATTCTAAAAACTGGAATTATTATTGTCGTCCCCTCAGTCACGGTGCATGAGAATGCATCACTACTATCTGATAATGAACGTTTTAAATAAATGTCATCGCAGCATGACTTGTCTTCTCAGCTATGAAACAAACAAAACACACACACTTTATAGTCCTTTAGATTTAAATCTTTCATACATTGTTCACTCATTTCCATCACAAACTGTCAGTCGCTCAATATTATTGTCTTTAGTCTCACGTCAGTCTTATTTTCTCTATGATGTGTAATCATATTCATCTACAATAATGACGAATACAATATCCTGGCAAAAAACGATTTCATACTTCTTTCTAGAAATGACGTTCGGCAAATCTTAACATTGCTATTATCCTTTATTATTTGATTAGATGACAACTATATTATTTGTTGTATATTATATTTCGTTTGCCGTCACGAAACCTAATTGTCTTTCTTACTTTCTTTCTATGATTTACTGATAATCATAATAATAATAAAATGTGTTAACTATTGTTTAGATTGACCGGCCTTTTTTTGTTCTGCATTTATCTCCATCGACTATTTTCTCTGTGTATGTGAAACGGATCCATCATCTCTTCTTGATGTGATTAGTCCAATATTTAATGATCTTTCTTTATCGTTGCATAACTAGATTCATCTCGTTTTTTCTTCAGCACACAAGCATAAACATTCAGTCAACCAACGAGAGTGAGCGAATTGTCTAAATTCTGCCGTTTTTATATCATTGACGCGTGTGAAGCTCTCCAACTGATTGACAACTGATGAGCAGCTTTGTTTTTTGCCTTATTTTATTTGATAGACATTGTATGTACATATGTGATTTAAACATTGACAACAATGGACTTTTAATGGCAGATGGTTTGTACTTGAGCTTTCTTCTTTTTTTTTTTGTCGATCTATGAACGTTGATAATATCTACTAATAGACATTACTTTCTTCCACATCAGTTAAGAGAGGTAGTTTTAGTGAGAGTTTTCTTTTTAACTAATCGAGAGAAAGAGAGATGAACAATAGATAACGAAAAAACGAAAAAGAGAGAGAAAGTTAGTGAATCTTATACGTAATTTAATCTCTTATTCGTCAAATGTATATCTAACGTATAATAACAACAAATAAAATGTTTTTTTCTTCATTTATTGTTTTTGTTCTCATTAATATTTGATGTTTTAACTGTATTTTTAATAATCAAGCACACATGGATCCAAGCAAAGAATTTTCTGTGAGATTTGGACTTGTCCATCTCTGAATCATGGTCGCTTGATGTGTTTGATGTGACAAACACAGCTCCATCTTCCTTTACAATCTAGTATGATGCAATGGCGTAGTATGTTCATTTATCTATGAATGAAGGAAAAGGTTGAATGATCTAAACAACAAATTATCTCGATTTTTAATTTGTTTTTCTAAATGAATATTGTATACAAATTGAGAAGGTTAAATCAATATTTTGACCAATAGTCTTCGTCTGATACTATCATAATAGATGTTTCTGATGTTCATCTATACCAAAAATATAGATCGTTTTTCTTCGACAGTCAAATCAATCATAATTTAGAAATGATTGGCTAAATTAGAGACACTTACGACGATTATTATCATGTAGTTATTTTATAAATAGCTTTTAACACCAATAACTAGACAATGATCCATATATAGAATTATCTCTGTCTTACACTCTTTGTCGTTTGAACTTCACACACGACCATGATGATGTTGATGTTCTGTTTATGGATCGAACGGTAGTACAATATTCATTTACACTACAATATACTAATTACATATTGTTTTCATGGAATGAAGAAGAAAAAATGTGTATAGACGTACGTGTACTAAGTTTTTTCATGTACAAATAGAAGAAGAGCTTTTTTCTCCTTTTTTTTTCTTTTCAATTTCATCATATAGCTACAGTCTACTGAACATATTAGGAAAATAATGGCTCAGTGTTTTTGTTTTGTTTTGTCTGGAATGTGTACTTTTTTTCTAATAATAATGGATGAGTTTCATTAATAAATAATATTATGTTTCGTTTTTCTCTTTGAACAACGTGTGTTGTATGAATAACATCAGAAGTAAGTCTTATCCCTTCCCTTTCATTTTTTAAACGATATCTCGGCGATTGGTAACCACGGTAACAAAGACTCCATCGCATCTGGCAAGAAATTTCTTCTCTCTAATATTCAGAAACTTTTATCGTATAGATTTTTCATATTTTTCATTTTGCGATCAAAAGTATGTTCATGCAAAAGATACTTACAGTTCTGATATAAGTCAAAAAGCGACCTGTAAATGAATTGAAGCATTCTGCTATCGAGATTCCAGTCTCAAAATTACTTAAGTCTTTTTTTCCTGATATCGTCAAGTTAAGGATCTTTCCCACTAGGTAGTTATTGATGTCTATTTTCTTACAAAATCGCTAGTAAACAAACACTGGATTTTTTTTGTCCTACGTTCAACGTGGACGGCGGCATCAATAAACCAACAGATCGTTTAGCTCTTTACATGTGATGTATGATAATGATCTTGTTGCAGAAAGCTTTTGTTGTTTTGATAATGTTATTTGATGAGAAAACATACGCGTTTATCTTTCATTTATTCTAGTTAGCAATATTTCTCAGTTACAACTACTTCCACACAGTTGTTCTTAGTGATACTGTGATTGATTAATGAATCTTTTTTCTTTTCTTCTTCTCGTTATCTTATATAGTGACTACTGTATTCCAGGAAGTTGGCTTGTATAGACAAATAAAAGGTAGAAACATTTAGGTTACTTTTTACTAATAACTATTGAAAAATAGTTAGAAGTTTTGACTGTAATTTCTCGCTTACCGCAGTCTAAAGTAGGCATGCACCATCCGATAGTTCGGTGACCGAACAGTTCGTTGTCAAACATATTCGTTCATTGAGCGTGTTCGACCTGGAAACTTGATGCGACCGAACGTGTTCGGATGAAGATTGCAAATACGATAGTTTATATTTTGCTCATCAGAGATATCGGCTAGCGCTCTGCTGAGAAACTATTAGGACAAAGTACCATAAACCTTACAAAGATACATTCGAATTAGGGTTGCAACTTTTTGTCTACTTTATTTGCACAGTGAGGAAAAGCATTTTTGCATTAAAACAAAGTAAATCAATCTGCTATAGAGGCCACATTAGTAAAGTATCCTTCAGTTAGAAAGTAAATCAGATATAATGGAAACTAAAGGTACTTTGGACTTCTGGAATAAAGCAAACATAAAGTTGCTGCCCTGATTCAGACTAGTCATGTAAATACGACCACAGCGTAATCATGGCTGCTCCTTCGCCTGGTGTAATCTTTACCATTTTTTCTGTTTTACAGATTTCTTTTATGTGTTTCTTGCTCTCATGTTCTTAGCTTTGACAAACTATTTTTTTAAACCTTTGATAGCGAATCGCTCGCTAACTGAAACATGTTCGGTAGCGATCCGGTAGAACACACATTCGCACACATTGTGCTTTAATTAGTCTATTTTCCCACTGATTAGTTCCTTCAAAAATTTCAATTTCATCCCATTTGTCTTTAGTCGAGACTAGGCATGCAACAATCCCAAGCTAGGGCTCGCTGATCGGGCGCGAACCGTTCGGTGCCGATCAGCGAGCTCTAGTTTGGGATTGTTGCATGCCTAGTCTAAAGACGAAAAGAGTGATATTCGTTTTTAATCTCAAATGTGATGAGAACGCTTTTTTCTCAATCATCTAGCTTTTTTTCTACAGCAGTTTATCCACCGTGATAGATGTGATCTTGGAATATTAATTGTGTAACTCTCAGCACCATTTTATTGAAATCCTTTTACTAAAAGAACTGTTATTCACTCTCACATACGAATAGTTGAGTATGAATACTACTATTGGTCTCGATTGAAAGATCTCGGCTTATGGTCCCAGTTTGTCCATCAATATTACAGTTATAACAGCAAATGCTGAGAGAGGTGATTCAAATGTCATCCTATTCAATGATGCATCATTGACTTTCTCTGTTTTTTATGTGTGTGTACAAATGAAGAATAAGGAAGTCTCGAATGTATAGTTCAATCAGACATATGTAGAGAAGATGAAAAAAAAACAATAACCACACATACACACACACATGTGTATTGTATAGACATATACTCATCAACATAAAAGCGAAACATTAGTTTTCTGTTATATATAAAAAATTGTTTTTTAAAGTGATGAATGCGTTTAAATGAAGCACGATGTTATATCATTATTATTACTACTACAACTATTGTACTATGTTCCACTTGAAATTTGATGTAACAACATTCAATTAGTTTGCCTGTTGTTAAAAAATGCTTTTATTGGATTTGTATTTTTGATGTTTTTTTGTAGACATCTATTACTCGAGGTAGTAGAATATTAATAATAGTCCGTCAGTTAATTTATTGAATTAAGAGTGAGAAGGTCGACGACTATATGTAGAAACATGCATGCTCACATTAGTGGGCTTTCACAACGAACATGTGTAATACATAGATCAAACAACAATTGATCATCGAATATAGTTAATAATAATAAGAATAAATGGTAGCAGAATAAGGTTTTCTTTTACATGCTGATTTGAGTTTTTCTGATCAGAACAATAGTAAAAGAAAGTAGAAAATAGATTTAATATCAGTCCATCTGATAAAAAATATTGTTAGTAACTGTCACAAGAACTGTACATTTGTCAGAATTCTGCTTACAGAAACCAATGTTACGCGAAAAAAAATTAAATTCAAACGTCTGGTTCAGGTTCGTAGCCAGGAAGTAGGCACATGTCCACCCCTGGCCTAGTTTCAATCAAATAGAGAGTGGATTTGTAGAATTCTTCACTAGTGATCGACTATATGTGCACTTTCCTTATTTTTAGTGTAGTTTATGTATCGTTGTTGGAAAACAACGATATTACTATCTCAAATCAAATTAAATCTATTATATTAATAAAATCTCTTGTTAATTGTCCTTTAATATGATTGTTGGTACGTGTGATGATACATAAATCGATAAATTTAAACGGTTCTTTTTTCTCTCTTACTAATATGTCGACAACCCAATGTATCCTTGACCGTTGGCTACGCATCTCACTCAACAGCAGAAAATTCATAATTTTTCTAAGTAATTTGTTATGTAAAAATTATTTAATAAATTTTCTCCGATTATGATCAAACAGAGAGAGTGAGAGAGAAAAGAAAAATAGAAAACAAGGTTAAATGTTCAAATAGAAGCCATACTAATGCTTGTACGATATATGGAAAGATGAACGATATGATGACACCATCGTCGTCAATTTGATCTCAAGTATTTTTTCTTTTTACGGTATGATACCAGGCCTTATACTTTTAGATGACAATAAAGATTGTACATTATATAAATTGATAGATATATATGTGTATAGCGTATAAAAACGGTAGTGACATTAACTTTCTTTTTCAATTCATACATAAAAGTTGTAAGAATTCGATTGTTTGATTATGTGAGAGAAAAAAGAGGATTTCAATAGTCAATCAACGATGTTGTGACTTTCTATTTTATTGAACGTATTTACTATGTTCTATAAATAATCTTCTTTCTTTTAAAATCTAACTAAGTTCAATCGTTTCATTTCTTATTAAACAAATGAATAAAGGAAAGAATGTCTACACGGTAAGTTAAAATACTTAAATTGATCTCATTTAGTCTTTTGTACGCAAAACTATAGAAAGATGAAATAAAACGAGTTTTTTACGCCAACAGGATAATTGTTGTATTGTTGTAAATTATTTTTATTATCTACACGATATGATAAACGTAAAACTTGTCCATATTTTGAACTTATTTTTGAGAGATAATCTCTGATTATACGATAAAATAATTCTGAATTCATTAGCAACACGACGATCAATCATAAATGAATTTATCCTGTTTCATTATTATTCTAATAATAACTTCAATATTTGCGCTTTGTCGTTTTACTGCTGTCTATATATCTAACGTATATATTTGTACAGTCTCATATACAGAGATGTGTGTGTATGTGTGCGTGTGCTCATTTTTATGCTTGTTGTACAGTCACAACATCATTACTTTTAACGAGAAAGAAGAAGAAAAAAAAGAAACGATCTAAGCCAAGGCAAACAAAGCAAAGTGTTTTTCACAAAGAAAAAGGAAATAGAGAAGAAGACAGAAGAAGAAAACATCCTACTATTTCAAAAGTAGAATGGTGATATAGAATTTTAAAAAAAATAATAATAAAACTTTTATATTAAATTATAAACGTGTGGTAAGATTGAGTCTTTCCGGTACAGTATTTTCAACTCTGTTTGATCTATATATTAGTCAGGATTAATATTTTTCTGTTTGTCTAAGCTAGTAACAGTGTCAGTTCATGTTTGTATGAAAAATGATCATAAGAAAGGAAATGAAATGAATTAATAAAAAAGAATTGTTATTAACTCGAATTTCCATTATACTTTTATTTTGAAAGATTTCAATTGTATTTGTATTATTTTTAGATTTGTCGTTGGTTCTCGTTAAATATGATGATTATCAGAATCGAACGAAATATTATATCTAAAAAATAACAGTATGGATTTAATTTTCGAAATCGACGTGATGTTTTCGTGACAAACAATTATGTCTTATACATTATTATTTATTCTATTATTTTATTCATTTTGTACAACGTCTATATTGTACGCCTTTAATTTTCAGACAGTTGAGCATTGGAGGTATTTAACCGGTGAATCATTAGCGTCTACATATTTTGGATATTCATTAGCAATACAATCAAATTTAGAACGACCGAGGTAGTAGCGTTGTTATCGATTAATTTAATAAAAATTGATGTCAAATATTTTTTGTTGTTATGTAGTTTAATTGTGGGATCGCCAAGAGAACATATCTACAACGATGATTATTATTATTCGATACGCAGACGTGGTGCAGTTTATGAATGTGCATTGGGAACACAAGATTGTAGAAGACTACAGTTTCCGCTATTTGGTAAGCATTTCAGCTACCGATAAAAGTTAATGAAGATTCAACGATATATCTTTAAACATATTTTGTTAAGTTAAATCTTAGTATAAGTTACATTCACTATCTTTACACGCAAGCTTTGATTATTGAACTGAATCAGCCGTATTATTAAGTTGTGAAATCTCCTTCGAAGCTTATTTCAAGGTATCTTTGCATCTTGCAGCCTAGTCTTCTAAATCGGTATTAAACACTACTCTCCTGTAAAATGAGCTATAACACAACATTTCAAATTTTATATTCGATAGATTTATCGTCAAAGTGCTAAATGAATACGATAATTTTGACTTGTTATAGAACAACGGTTAAGATATCCAAGCAAAAAGTCTTTTCTCGGATCTAGCGTGAAGCTAGATTTCTGGAACATTTGTCTAGCTCTTATCCGGTTGGAGCCAGCTAAATGTTGTTCCAAAAATCTAGTTTCAAGCTAAATTCAAAAAAACCCTTTTGCTTGGCATATAGTATAGCGCTGTGCACAAAATCAGACCCAAATTAGTTCTGATATAAAAATATCTAAAATCTAACAAGCTTCAACTGGTATACATCAGAACTTTTTAAAAGTATGTCTTTATACATTTATATTGCTGAATACTCAAGGAGTGTTGTGGTTTTTGCACATGTTAACATTGGACAGAAATTACAGCAAGGGTGTCTGTTGTAAACAAACAAAACAAACTCATAGGAGCTTAGCTATAGAAATTGTCTCCCGCTTTTTGATCATCTAGAATCAAAATAATATTTTCCATATGTTTGCCGTACCAATAAATAAAAAAAAGTGTTTATATCAACCTACTTTAGGCAATGAAGTCATTCGATTAAAAACTAGTACTGATAATAAAACTGATCAATGGTTTGGTGCATCAGTGGCTGCAGATCGAAGAAATATCATTGTAAGTATCAAACTATACTCTATATTTTCAAAATGATAGATTATACCTATTGATGTGAATTGTTCAAATATTGATAATGTATTTTAAACAAAATTGAATTTTTCCACAATATTTCGAATTCAAACGGTGTGCTCACCAAAGCTGCACGACTCATTTTTCAGAACCCGTCCCCCCTAGCTCGGTCATTTAGAAATCGCCTCCGTTCCATCCCAGTCAAAAAGAAAATTTGGCGCTCTGCGAGGACCTCGTAGCGTCACTTTGAAAATGTTTCGTAAAACGTTTGTTTTGCCTCTTCAATTAAATGTTAAAATTAAAAGTTAAATTTTCCTACTCGCAAAGTGTCATGTTTTATTTCAGAGTATTGCATATAAAAATATATCAAACGTTTCGTGTTAATTTTTTTGCAGAATGGATGACGATAATATCATTTACTGTTTCTTGGTTAGATTAGATTATCGTTGAGTAATGATCACACTCGTAGAATGTTCTTTACGCATTCTCCCTCTCCCGTGCATTTCTGGTGCTCACTTACTGTTGACTAGTTCTTTCTATAGACTGCAAGTGTGAGTATAAAACTTGCGTCATTTAGGTTGGTGCACCTCATTTAAAACATGCTATTAGTGATGCAACAGCTGAAAATGGTATTCATTACGACATTCCTGGTACATGTTGGAAAGGAAAAAATATGTGGTCATCAATTACGGCAAATAGTACTCGAATATATTCGCCTGGTATGAGTCATTGGGGTAAGTTATTACTGCAAAAAGTATATCATGTTGGTCAGTATGTAATGTATATGCATAGATTTGCGCGATTTTCATAAAGAAGGTTATGGTTTATTTGGTTTTCAAGTGGCACTAAGCAAGGTAGAATGATTGTTTTGTTCTAAATTGCATTAATGCTAGCATATCTTTGAAATTTAGAAACCTGAAAGAATTGTGATAACAGCGCCTGGCTCGTATTATTTTCGAGGTATTTATAACTTCTCTAATATCTAAGATCTAATTTCTAAATACTTTGTCTAGTGAAACTGAATAATATTCAAATATTTTCAGGTCAAGTTCATTCAATTCCATTATTCAATGAAAATTGGTTAGAATCAACACACGCATTCCCATCACCCCATTATCCATTTCTTAATGTTAATTGGTTAAAATATCCAAAAAACTATTCATTTAATGAATATGATGATTGGTGTTATCGAGGTTGGTAAAGTGTTTTTGATTCGAACGGCTTAATTACAAACTCGTATTACAACAATTCATAGTTGATGTTTAAGGTTACGCATTGGCATTAGGCAATTTTAACGATGATGACGATCAAGGTATTGTCGAGTAAAATTCTCTCTTTCTCTTTGTCTGTCCATATTACATATCTATTTTAGAAATCGTGACAAGTATACCAAGATTAAATGGATATCAAGGAGCCATTGAAATTCTCAGCAGCAATCTTAATGAAAGTTCGATACAATCAATCAACGGTTCACAAGTAAAAGAGAATGAAAATATTTGAAACTTTTTCTAAAACGATTTGTTTTAGGTTGGAGCCTATTTTGGCGCTTCACTATGTGTTATGGATGTCAACAATGATGGATTAGATGATTTACTTGTCGGTGCACCATTATACACAATCAGAAAAGATGGTAGAATTTTATCGGATGCGGGTAGAGTGAAGGTGTATTATCAAAATAAACAAGTAAGTTGATAAAGGAGATTTTGGACTTAAAAAAATATATTCAACAAAAAATGTTTTCAGCATGAACTGATACTCGGAACACCGTTAGATGGTACAAAAAAGGGTGGTCGATTTGGTCATGCAATAGCGAAATTGGGTGATATAAACAAAGATGGTTATGAAGGTATAGTATTGTGAGAATTAATCCAGCCATTTTAGAAAATCATGTTTCAGATGTTGCAATATCGGCGCCATTTGCTGATGGAGGACAATCTGGAGAAGTTTATATTTACCATGGTTCTAAAACAGGTTTATCAATAATACCAGCTCAGGTAACATATTTATTCATAAATAATACTTTCTAATAATATTGTAACCGTTCGATTCCACGAATAGTAATGTTTCTTATTTTTAAAGATTCTCAAACCTGATAAATTATTGCGTGCATTTGGTTGGGCATTACAAAGTCAATTTGATGATGATCAAAATGGTTATCCAGGTATGATTACTAAGAATGTCTGTCACTTGTTCTATACTCTACATCTTCGAAATTTACTTTAAGATTTAGCAATTAGTAGTGCTAAAAATGATACCGTTGTTATTGTTCGGTGCGTGTCTATGGATTTTTTAATTAAAATACTTGTTACTTATTTGAATTAAACTTATTTTATATAGTTCAAGACCAATCATTTATGTTAGAGCAATGATGAGTCACAAACCACAGAGTGTGCGTTTAAATTGTACATCGGATACATATGACAATTGGTATGGATGCTACTATCTTTTTCAATATTGGCGAAGTATGCATTAGTTCAGAACAAAAGAAAGTTAGAGACATATAGTTTTCACTAATCTTCGAGAAACAAATTTAGTTTTCTATAGCCTAGGATGCTAGTATATAGTGTTTTTTACATGAGTTCAAAATGTTCAGTTCAATTCAGTTTATTCTGACATAGCCATGGATACATGAAAAAACATTGCTAGTGCAAAAGTTTGTAACAAAGAAATCTGCATTTAATTAAGAATCTAGGCAGGTAAAGGTGTCGACGTGCACATAGAGGAAAATAAGAGTTGATCGAGATCTTTTTTATTTTTAGTTTTGTTCATATTGAACGTGATCAGGGAACCAGAAACAGTGGAAAAGCACTTTTTAATATTCCTAGAAACTCTTCCGGAAATAGCCTTAATACTACATCCTGAAGCTTTTAGGTTATTATAATCTAGGTTTAGTAAATTATGAAATTTTTAAACATAGGTGAATACAGTCTGAAAACTGCTGTCAAGTCATCGAGTACCAATCCTGTCTACTCGTGTAAAAAATACAATATACTAGCATTCTAAGCTCCAAAAAACTAAATTTATTTCTCGAAGGTTAATGAAAACCATAAGTCTCTAACTTTCTTTCATTCAGAACTAATTCATGCTTCGTCTATTTTGAGTGGGAAAATAGTGATTTTTTGCGAAACATCCGAAATTCATTTTTTTATATCCACTTTAGTTTCACTCTACGCATATGTATGAATTTTGATGGCATACAAAATCTTCATTCAAATATCGGCAGTGAGATTGAATAGTTAAAATAGAATTCTTTCTAATTTTATGACTTTTTTTTCTGTTTAGATTTTTCTTATGTCTTACAATTAGATATTCATAAAAGTAAACGTGAAAAACGTCTATATTTCAAGGAAAAAATGAGCCGTTGGACACGTTTAAAAAATCGAACAAAAACTATTCATAATTTAAAGCTAAATGATCCAGAAAAATGTACAAATTATGAATTATACATGAAAGTGAGTAAATAATTTTTATAATTTGATAAAATTACTTAAAAATATTTTTTTTCTTATATTAAAATAACAGGATGATATTGGAGATAAATTAAAACCAATTATTGTTCGTCTAAACTATAGTCTTGTGACAACGACATCAGTACACAATATTGTTCCACCAATATTAGATGCAAAACCATCATTCATTGATCATGAGGTTAGATATATTTTATATTTGTCTATTTGACTTTTAATCATTATAATTTTTTATCAATAGATACTTATACAAAAAGATTGTGGAACAGATGATGTATGCATTCCAAATTTACATTTAACCACGACAAGGTTTGTTATGCACAGAAAAATAAAATATTTATAAGATTTTTATTTTTGTTTTGTCTCTATTTAGTTTTCCAAATGAGTATAAAGTGGGTATATCGAATAAAATTATTTTAAATATTTTTGTTAAAAACTTTGGTGAAGATGCCTATGATGCCAAGTGTGTAATTAAATTGCCAAAAAGTGTCAGTTATGTTAGTTCCAATTCTAGTTATTTGGTAAATGATAATCTGTATCAGATTGCATATAATTGAAAAATATTATTATTTTTTTTTTTTTTGTTTATTAGCATAATGTTTATTGTAATACAATGCATCTGGAAATGGTTATTTGTCAAATCGGAAATCCACTAATAGCAAATAGAAATGTAACAATCAATAATCTCACACTAACATTATTTATTCATATTTTCTTTTTCTTTCCAGGTATCATTTCAAATATTTGCTGAATTAAAAGCATTTACTGATCTTCTAGATAAATTAGTGTTTCATATCAATGTTACCAGGTATAATTTTCAATTTTTATCTCGTACATATTTATTGACCATTTTATTTTAATATTGTAGTGAAAATCCGGACACTATTAATGATGATAATTATAATCAAATTAGAATGCCAATATCAGCTTCACCGGAAATTGCTCTTATAGGGTAAATTATGTCAACATCTTCAAATGATATTTTTTTAAAATAAATTATATAATTTTTTTCATTTTGCAGTGTGGCTAAACCAGAACAAATTCAACCGTATCCAGTGTCTATAACATCGGATAATTCAAAACAAATAAAAATTTCTAATTTAGACATTGTTCATATCTACACTGTAAATATTGTGATCGTCTTATATGTCGTATATTCAATCTTATTTTTACTCTTATTTTCAGTTACATAACAAAGGTCCGGGCAATTCAAAACGAACTGAATTTAAGTTGACATGGCCCGTATCAACATTAGTACACGACCATCTATTATATGACATCGAACAGCCAAATATAACAAGACCAAATGAGCCACAAACAATGGATGATTATTGTGTAGTTGGAGATTCATTTTTTATGCACAAAAACGTACGTTAGCAGAGACTGAGTGACTGTTACTGAGTGAAGCTTCCCATAAAATCACAGGTTCTATGTTTCTTGAATGTTATCAGAGATGTTCTTTCTTGGGGAAGGAGCACAATGGTGATTTTTCATTAGACAGATGGATATCAAACTTTGTATCATCAGAAATGAGTGCTTTTGGCTTAAGATGACTTTCTGTATCTGAAAATAGTATTATCGAAAGAACAAACTGTTCATTTTTGATGGAAAATGCTTGAAGGGAACAATTCAGGGTGAAATTTCTTTACAGTGAAAAAATATCTTAGGAAATGTTCGAACTCAACATTATTTGATGCAAGCTTTTATGCTGATTCCATATATCATCTTGCTTTTAACGTGTTTTGGAGCTAAGAAAAATAACTATTATCTTAAACTAGGATTTTTTGAAAATCTTGCATCAAAGACCGGAAAAGAGTTATGCTAATACTATAGAGGCAGTGCACATCAACGAATATTTTGGCAAAATTCGAGCTAGATTGAACATGACCTAAAGTGATTGCACTCAGTATGCTGAACACGCATCAAGATGTAGCCAAATCAGGCCCGTAGCCAGGAAGTGGGCACATATCCACCCTTTGAGATTTCATTCTGATGAGTAATTTGATGAGAAACTTTTGTCTTTGTCTGCACGTCGCGATTTAGTTCCCTGCTTTAGACAATAAACCGTTTAATGAGCGAGTTTTTCAAAGATAAACGTCGAATCAAATGACTGAACAGAACTGTTTTTCTCCATTCTAACGCTTTTTAGAGAGCATTGAATAGAGTATTCCTAAATCGTTTTCTCTTTCTCGTTCCTCTCAGAAATCCTTTTTTCTTCTTATCATCATTTGCAGTAACTTAAAATAGTGTGAAGACAAAACGCAAGAAAAATTTTAATGTGCCAAGTTTAAAATAGAAAATTAGACTAATAAAATGGACGATTTTTTTCTAGATGACCATTCCTTACAAAATCCTGACTACGGGTCTGAGCCAAACAGATCTAGATTAAGTCTTTGTTCGATTCTTGTTTGTAATTTCATCAGATAAAGTAAACAATTTTTCAATGTATAGTGAAGCAGCGTGTTTTCAGGCGATTTTAACAGGCTAATTGTTAACGCATGATTCGTAACAGATGTAATTTTCATGTCAGTTAACTACCCTATATATTGAAGTTAAATCACCGGAATGTTTTGTCTTTGATTTTTGGCTAAATGTTCGGTTGAATGCTCACCATGGAAGGGATCAGAAGAAACACTTCTCTAATAATTCAAAATATGCCCATCATTTGACGATATAGATAAGAATAAACTTAAAGCAAACCGTATTAGTTCATCAATCATTTTATTGTATTTATTCAAAACACAATCTGAGCTTTCGACCTACTCAGTAGGTCATTTTCAAAAATTAATGAGAAGATGAAAAGGAGACGAATATATATATGAAAAATTCTTCTTTTCGCTCTAATTGGTCTGTCTTTGTCTTTTTCAAATATTACAATGCAAGGGGAGAAAATACTGCTGTTGTCGCATTGCAATGTTTCAACCTGAGATATTGGCACGTGAAACAGGGTGGAAAAGACGAAAGATCAAAGAGACAATACACACGTTAAAACAAATAAATGCCTACAACAAGATTAACCATGAATTAGTTATATTTACATAATAACTAATTTACATAATTAATTTAATCAATTAGAACAAAGAAGCTAAGGGAGAAACATTGTAGTGCGACAATAGCACCGTTTTCTCCCCTTACATTGCAATGTTTGAAAAACACAAAGACAGACCAATTACTACGAAAAGAAGAATTTTACATATATATATATTCGTCTCCTCTTCTCATTAATCTTTGAAAATGACCTACTGAGTAGGTCGAAAGCTTAGATTATGCTTGTGTTTTGAATAAATACAATAAAATGATTGATAAAACTAATATGGTTTGCTTTAAGTTAATAATTCAAACGTTCGGTTTTTTTTTCACCATTACCAACTTTAAAAGAATGCAGTTTTCGTTTCTAGCCTGAAACTACTTTAAATAGAATTCGAACGCCATTAATCGAAAATATCCGCAACGTATTATCTTCAAATCGACCAAAAACATTTAGTTGTAATAGTGTTTGTAGAGAATATATATGTCAGATTGCTTATTTAAAAGTTGGACATAGTGTTGTTATAACATTAAAAGCAAAAATGAGACTAAATATACTTTTATCGGTTAGTATTTAAACCTAGCTTTTATTAGTGTGATTACATTCTATATGTTTATTGTATTAGAAACATGATCGAACCAAATCGTTTATTCTCTCGTCGAATGCTACTGCCAAAGTATTAGAAATTCCCTACAATATTACCGATATTAAATTATCAAAAATTAGTTTAAAGGTAGGATTTTGTTTTTATTATTTTTTCTATCGAAAAAAAATATTGAAAACTAAACTGCATATTATTATTATCTGTTTGCTTCATACTTCTCGCCTATGTCGAATAGAATAAAAGCACAGAATACGATAGAATGCTTTTCTAAATTTAACATGTAGGAATGAATATAACAATGGATTAATAGTAGAATTTAACCATAATAACCAAAATGTAATTTCATATAATGTGTTCGATATACATTTTGTTGGTTGTTTACATAGTGCACGAATTAATGTCAACAATGTATATGGACACCAACATATCACAAATGCAAAGACGAGAATAAATAAACTTCGTGCAGCTTTCTTATCACGTGCTAAATTAGCTGAAGATGATGATGATTTTGAATATGTTGATGAAGTTGGTAGAAGAAGAGTAGTAGTAGTGATGGTGGAAGACTGAAGTGGCATAAGATTTTTGTTCATATGACCATTTGATATTTGAATATCATTTGGTTGATCATTGTTATGTTCTTGTTGTCGTTTTTTAGACGATGTTGTTGTTGTTGTTGTTGTTGTTGTTGCCGGCGTTCGAATTAAACCACGCGATCTTTGACGAATATTTAAATAGACCATTAGATTTAACGTTGTCAAACTAAAAAATGGTACAAAAAATTCGACAAATGCTGTTGTAACCAAATAGGCAAAACTGTGTGCAAAAGGAGCATCACATTCACGATGATCAAATTTTGTAGATGAAAATAAATCCCAAAATACAATAGCTGGACCTAAAATTATTAAATTCAAATTTTAATTAAATAAAATTCATATTTTAATATTCTTACCATAATTTAATGATGCAATAATCCATGTTCCAAAAACGAATATTAATGCTCTATGAACACTTCGTTCAGAAATATATTTTAAACCTTTTGATACCATTCGATATCGATCAAAACTAATTACAACAATACAAAGTGTACTTGCACTACCCACAACGTAATCAAATACAAGCCATAATTTACATAAATGATAACCTAAATACCATTGACCTGATATTAATTTTGGTACATATAACGGTATACATATAATACCGATTAATAAATCGGCTACAGATAAATTTAATATAAAATAATTTGAATATGTTCGAATTGTGGCATCACTAACAAATGCTATTATAACCAACTAAAATATAAATAAAATTTTAATAAAACAATAAAACATATATTCATAATATAAGATAATTTAGAATTCTTACCAAATTTCCACAAATAGTCATAAATACCATTATTGACATCAGTAATGTTAACAGAGTATTTCTATAATGAAATATTGTTGTTGATGTCGTGGATGATACTGTTGTTGAACCACTGACGAATGTTGGTGTAATACTTGTTAAATTTGTCGTCAGTGTTAATGTATGATTAATTAATAATTCCAGTGCAATATTAAAATCATTATTTGCTTGTTCTTGATCTAATGTCGATAAAGTATAATTCATATCATTTCATTTTTTGTACGTTTTTTTTCAAGAAAAATTCTATATTCACTGATCATGATCTAAAAATAGAAGAAAATTGATAGAACAAAAAAAAAGAGACAATAGAATCATTCAGTACTAATTGAGATCTCCATTTTATATAACACAACGAATTTTTTTTAATATGTATTTCTTCTATTATATAATTCATACTGCGAAAAGTGGTTGGTTATCAGAATTGAAATTGACGTAATGATGCATGCGTGCGTGCGTGCGTATATAGATGAAACAAAACGGAAATTCATTAATGTAGAAAAGTTGAAATTATTAAAATCTACAGACGTCAGTTTGCTTAATATCCAACACACTTACGAAAGAGAGCGATAAATACGTCTATGAATATGAATTTTTGTATCTGAATCCTACAATCATATTTTTAATGAGAATTTTGACTTACGTTATTTACATCGGCCTTTTATTCAGTATAAACAAATGTATACTGAAATTTTTTTTTTTATTAAATAGTTATTTTCAGAAACTAGCAAAATTTCTTTCATCTTTTTATTTTGAATGGTTAATGTTATAGAAAAAGATAAAATAGAAAAATTTTAGTTCTTTCCCATGAACTCGTAGAAGTATGTGAATATTGAGAAGAGTCACAGAGAGACAGTCTTTAGGACGATGACACGTTGGTAGTTGATAAATAAATTAAAAACCTTAAAAATCTATTGTCGATATTCTTTTTCTGATTTTGTGATATTTGAAAAATACCGTAGGCATACGGACAATATTTTTCCGTATTATAATCATGAAAAAACTCCGCAGACAATTTAATTGCCCCTATTTCGGTAATGTCTCAACGCGTTAACAAGTAGATTTACTAAAAATAGACGACAATATGATAAAGTACATTCTACCAATATTACTAACAAAATATTCATGTTTTAGTAAAAGAATGTCTAGGCATGTTTAATTTTCGAGTCAAATATGAGTCAATTTACACATACCAAAAAAAGAAAAAAAAAAAAGAAGAAACCTTTCTATCTTAGTAGTCAATGCTACAGATTCATTTGTAGAATGATGGAATGCTATTTACAGAATAACAGAAAATTTTTCAACAAAATATACAATAACCTTAAATCCAATCTACTAGTGACGATCAACGAATGTTGTCATTTAATATTATATCACTAATTTATTTGTATTCATCAGCATATTGTACTATATAATTAAGAAAAAAAAAGAAGAGAAAGTTCTTCCTCATTGCATAGTGTTTATTCAATACACAATTAACAGCAGCATACTGTGGTAGTCTATTCTTCTTTCCCATATTTTTTGAATTGACGATATGAATGATTATTAATAACTCGTTCTAGACACCGAGACAAATAGAAGTAGAAGAAAAATAAAAATGGAAAAAAGAGGAAGAAGATAATAACGGCTCAAATGAGCGTTCATTGAGAAGCTAATCTTGATCTTCTCTTACAAGAGGAGAAAGTTGCATGATACTAAGTTTAGAATAGATATGAAAAATATATTAAAGAAGAAATTTAAAAAATTATTAAATTTTGTTTTATACATCTCGTTCTATCTCTCTCAACAACTTAGCGATGTTCAAGCAAAAAAAAAACAAAAAAAAATTTAGACTGTTTACTTACCTTTACTATATGCAATCATATTACATATCTGTAAGAATTTGATGATAGAGAAATCGCTGTTCATCACAGATAAATTTATTTTAAGAAAAGAATTAAAAAATAACACGTTCAATACGCCATAGAATACGAAACGTTTTGACGTGCTTTTTAGATAATTTAAACGAAAGAAGAAAAAAAAAAATAGAATTTATAATGAGAGAAGAATTTTCGATCAGTATTTTTAAATATAAAACAAGAAAATCATTTTAATCATGTGGTTCGTCGTTTTATTATTAAAAAATGACAAGCGCGTCTAAACGACGACAACAGAAAGAATTGTTTTCTCTAAACAAAGTAGAAAGTTTTCTTCTCCATCTATGTAGATCTTTTGTATGAGTTGAAATCCTGTGAGAATTTTATCGCGCATATTAGCATAACCAATATTATTTCAGTAATATAGATATAGTAAAAGTCCGTTCCTTTCTTTCTTTTCCGTGTTTTAATGAAGATGACAAAAATGAGAAGAAAACCAAAAAAAAATAAAAAAGAAGGAAACCTGAAGCGAAAAAAAAACATATGAAAGAGAAAACAAGAAAAACATTTTGAATTTAACTAATTGGTAAGGTTTTGAACCTTTTTCTCCCTATTTTAAATTATGTAATATCCTGCTCCTATATAGATACATCGCCTTCGGCCTTATTATCTTCATTATTCTTGAAAAAGAAAAATTATTAGTTGTTCAAACAATACAAGTGTTGTACTTATGTTAGAATAAAAATTAAAAAAGTTTAAGTCAGTCTTCTATAGAAGATCAGAGGTGTCTACATTTTGTTAATCAGCATCAATATATAACAAATAGTTAGAAATAGTCTAATATACATCATCGTGAAAAACATTGATTATTGAGTGATCAAACTACTAAGTATATCTTTTTTTGTTTTTTGTTTTTAACTCTTCTTTAAGTTCTTGAATTTTTCTGCTGAATTAAATTCGATTACACATGGTATAATCTATATAAGAAGAAGGCATTTATAAAAGTTCTATTTTGTTACTTATACATTTGATGATAAAATAAAATAATTTCTATACAAAGATCGTAAATAAAATATAGTTATACACACTTTCTACAAATTAATTAGACTCATGTCAGATAAGGGAGACACAACAATAAATTACTAAAATTATGTATAATAAAAGTTCTTGAAGATTATCCAAAATTTTCGACATTTAGCAGTGATAAGTATACTTACCATTAGGGCTCAAAGGGTTAACACAATTCTTTTTTTCAGCTTTTCATGGTTAGAATGATAGCTTTTAGAACGAACAGTCAGACATATTGATTATTCTATTTTAACTGAAATAGGATGAAATGGTAAAGTAACTTGAACTACTAAGAATTATCTAATAAATTTTGGAAAAGTCTGCGTCACAGTTTTTATCTTCCATTTAAATTGCACTGTATAATTTTTATTCTTTTTAATGATGCAGTTCAAATGAAGATACAATCAGTTCAAACTAGAAAGCGTATCTAAATTGTTGAATAAAGAGAAAACAATTCTTCAGATGAATCTGCCTATCAGTAATACATGCAGAGTAACACTCAATAAGTTTTCATTTGTTCTATTTTTAAAAATAGATTTATAATAAGTAGGTCATTTTTAAACATAGTAATCAAAAATAGTTATAGAAATATTTTCATTAGTGCGTATGATATACTTTTTAGATATATAGATTTGTAAATGTTCGACGTTAGTTAAAATAAATTCTCTTGTTGAACATTCAAGGACGAGAGGATGGGGGAAGCAAACACGATGAATTCTACCGTGTAATTTTTTTCTTTTGTTCTTTTTAAGAATATATTTCTATTGTACAAAGCAATTACCGCTTAATTTCAAGTGTATTTATTATATCCATTAAAATACATTGTTTTTTTCTTTTCTCAGAATTAATTCGGACCACAAATTTTGTGACCGTAAACGAGTTGAACGATTATATTTTTATAAACGAGAATCAAGTTAGACTTAATAAATTATTGTTTGATTTGATTTGATTTTGGACGAAAACTAATTCTTAGTTTCATTAACTCTCACAGTTATCTAGATTTTTCATCTCATACGGATACTGCAAAAACTCGAATTCGATTTGATTTTGAAAGAAAACTTATGACAGAGCCAAATTTTTATTATTTTTATTTTTGTTTTGTTTTTATTGAAAAGCAAGATGTATTCTATTTACTATAAACAAGAAGTCAAGAACTTTCGAAAATCTAGTTTTTGTTGTGTTGTAGATTATAATTTTTCACCTTGAGACTAAAACCATTCTGAATTTTGCATAATGGAGAGGATATGAGAAGATCCTGACAGTTTCCCGATTTTACTCATTGATTCAATTATAATCGGAAAAGGAAGACTCAGATTAAAACTTTTTACTAATTAATCATTTTCAATTTTATTTTTTTGTTGTTGTTTTGGCACTAGCCGATAGAGTAACAGGTCACTAACAGGTCTTGTTAAATTAGGATATTAAATTTGTTACTATTTCTGTCGTATTTTTTATATAAAGTCGAATATTCTTAGATTATATTTTTTCATGAAATAAATGAGTGAATAATGTATATTATTGATATATTTTCTAATTATGGTGTTTCAAGCATAATTTCTATGTAATATGAAAATGACACTATCGGGCTGTTTTTAATAATAATAATGCAAATTTTTAACAATATCATGTGAATAAGTCCTAAAGTATATTAGATCAAACTTCATGAGTGAGTTCGCCAATTTGTATCTAAATACATTTAACAATTTGACACATAGTGAATAAAAAACAAAAAAATCGTCTTTGGAGACGCTTTCTTGTCATTTCAATTTCGTTTTCTTCTTTTTTTTTTTTCGTATTCGCAGTTTGCTTGTTTTTTGTAATAGTTTCTATTAATTCTACAAAAAGAGACAGCCTGCTTTTGACTCAATAATAATGTATATCAATATCATTTTATCTCTTGCTCATCTTTCTTGCAAAAAACGAAGAAAAAAAAAGAAAAAAAAGAAAAGAAAAAACTCTAAACTATTCACTGGAGAAATAAAACAAATGGGCGTAGAGGAAATAAGGGCTATTGTTGTGGTTGATAATACACTTTGCTCGCTAGTTGTTTATCATAAAGGATGTTGATTCTTTTTCCTTTTTTTTTTGTTTTTGAAAACAATATTTTTTTTTTTATTTAATTCGTTCTTCTTCTAAAATTTTTTATTTTTTCGCTTGATATATGCATTAAATCTTTAAAATTATATGCATACAAAATAATAATCATAGTATAATTTCTATTTTTTAAAATCTCACAGATATTTCAATCTAATTCAATTTCGCTTTTGATGCACAAATATCAGTTATAATTAGTGTCCAATCTATTTGACTTTATGCGTTTATTTTTAATTGATTAGAAACGTTTTAGTAAAAGACAGTAAAATCAATCATTAACATCTTAAGAAACATAAATAAAAATGTTATTCAAAATGTAAATTTAAAAAGTTTTTTTTTTTTTCGTCTTACTTTATTTGTCACGCAAAAAAAAATACAAAAAAAAAACAAAAACGTTTTTCTATTTTTTCACAAGGGATTTATTAGGGTTAATAATAGTTCAACAAACAATTTTTTGAACGGAAATGAAAATGTTATGGTAAATTAAACACACAAGCATTTTTTATTTTTGATGTAAGATGTAACGGAGATAGAGAGCAAGAGAGAGAAAATGAAATCTCTGTGTATATCAAATATTTTAACAAAATTTTTGACGAGGGTGAAGGAGTCTATTCGATTTTCCGCTGTTATTTTATGTTTATTTTTGTCTTTTGTTCAAATGAGAAGGAAAAAGAAGAAGAATTTAAATGTTTGACTTTTTGTTTTAACGACGTATATACCGTATGGCCATTTATCAGTATTTTCACCTCTCTTGAGAGAATAAAAAAGGAATAAAGAGAACTCCTGTATCCTTTCGTGCATTGTTCATAACATACACACATCACGCAAACGAGTATTTAGTGTTTGTCATGCTACTATCTTTCTCTCGAAATGAAATGATGAACATAATAATTAGAAATTAATATTGAAATAAATACTAGAGCAAACGCAAACAAACAAATAAACAAAGAAAAATTCATAAAATATAGTTAGACATTTATTATATATTGAAAAGAAAAGAAAGCGAAACTATTACTTATTATTTAATTTTGGTATCATCGATATGTAAATGGAAAATAAAAACACCCGATATAATAGAAAATAAAAATTAGAAAAAAATCTTACACAGCAGCTTATTGTTCATAGATTTTCTAACCAAAAAAAAATGATCATTAACAAATTTTCTTTTTTTTTTAAAGCTCTTAATGTTTTGTGCGTGAGCTCTTTAATTATGTTTCCACTTACTCATAGTAGATTCGCAATAGACACTCACGCGAAGTCAAAAAATAGTCTAATGAGGATTTTCTTCAACTATAAATTGTGTTACGAAACGCTCAATTATGTTATTTATTAAGGGTAAGGATGACATATTTTCAGACTGGATCTACTATTGCATGAAGTAGTTTTATTTGCTTACCTTTCGGATTTCGTTGATCTATTTATTTTCAATTATAATTTAAAGTAGTAACAATAATTCTTTTTCATCTGTTTTATATCATCTATTTGAAAAAGATGAGAAACATGTGAACAATAGAGAGAACGTAATTATCGTATAACATAGATTCAAATATATTGTCGGCCAAATGGGTTTAGTCTTCATTGGTTCCCACTTACTCACTCTTACGTATAATGTCGCCTTATAAAGCCAATTAGGGACAAATCAAACAAGAAATAAAAATTCTAATTGATGCTACTATTTCTATACAAACAGTTTTGTGTAAAAAATCTTGCTCTCTCCTCTCTCTCTACTTCTCTCCCACTGAGTGTGTTTTAGATCCCGTTTATGTAGTCTAACATCTATATTAATCAAAAACAGATCCTTCTGCTATGTATATGTCATTAATTTACAGTTTGTTATGCTCTAATAACATCGTTTAGTGACAACAAAAATTAAGTAATTGCGACTATTTATTTGACTTTAAAGATAGTAAACATCGCCAGACTAATCATAAACTTTTGCTGTTTTAGCTTGAAACACAATTACCACCCGTTGTTGAACGTTCTCAGTCCTGGCTGTGGCTTATAGCAATTAGTGTTACATTTGGCGTCATTTTACTTATTATTCTAGTTATTGTATTGTGGTGTGTAAGTATCAAATTGGTACAGTCAATTAGGAAATACACAACATGAAATTATATATATATATATATATATTACGGTATCAACAGATAATTCTTAAATATAAAGTGGTGTGACATTAATAATTGTTGTTTTTTGTCAAAGTGCAATAATTAATAGTCTTCCTTAAATTTCACATATGGTTTTGTTTTACGAAAAACTGAAATATTTTCCATATGTTAAGCATGTGATTAAAGGTCATAAACTCGAGTTATCGGTAGAACTGATACGCTTTCTTGATTAGATATAAACATTTAGAAGAAAAGGATCTATTAATTTTAAAAGTTATTAGAAAGAAAGATTTGTCAAGATAATTATTATCTAAAAAATAGTTTGAGTAAAAATATTTCTTGATAAAGATCAAGAACGTGGACAGATCAGTCTATAAAATTTATCTGAACGATGTAGATGTTTCATATCACGAACATGTCACGTGGAACATATTCCACACATTAATGTTATTAAATTGATGTGTCGAGTAGTTTTGTACCTGCGATTTCCTCAAGGGAAAGTAAATATATTCGACTATTCTGATCACGAATACTACATTTAATACTAAGACTCGATTCCACTAAGTTTTGTATAGAAGTGATAAAAAATTATTTCTCCTTCTCCTTAGAGAAACCTCAGGCGTAAAAAATGTCGATACACGAATTGAATAACATTAAGGTACAGAGTATATATTCTAGTGTATGTTTCCAGAAAAATATCTGCATCTTTTAAGAAATATTTGTATCACTATCTACTCTTATCATTTTATTAAATTTTAGTGTGGATTTTTTAAACGTCATCGTCCACAACAAGGTTCACCTATTATTGAATCTCAAAATAAAGGTAGATATCATGTGATAAATAGTCTTGATGATCGAGATGAAGGTGAAATGATGAATGATGACGATGAAGCGGCTAACAATCTGAATTATCCTCTACAATCCAGTGATAGTCTACCAATATTTGTCCCAAATACTCATCATTTAATACCATCGTCAAATGCTGTTTTTCCTCAAACAGTGATGCAAAGAACGTATCAATTTACATATTAAAAATATTTTTAACAGTGTATTCATCGTGACATGTGATTTTTCTTTTGGTTTTAAAACATTTTTTCTGTGGTTTTGGTATATTTTTTATTCAAATACAAAAAAATTACTGTTTACCTATGTTCCAATTCCGCAACACAAAATATATTCTAATTCAAACTCAAACCATTTATATAAAAGAATTTCAAAAAAAAAATCCCATTTTTTTAAGCGATAAAAAGAAAAAACTATGTACTTTTACTACATATTTTCAACAAGGTCTCTTGGTCAATGTTTTACAAATGTAGATGCTCTAGGTCAGCATGTCTCAAACGACCGTTCAACAACAACACCAACAGACAATATGACTCACTGATTATGTTGTTCGAGTCATGAACAAATTTTGAACAAGTTACTTATGTTCAAGTGTCTAGGATCCCTCATCCAACAGCATATTTACTAAGTTCTGATGTATACAACATAGTTCCTCTGATTTGATAGAACGTTGGTACATGTGTATGAGTAACCCAAAAGAATTTTGAATCAGACTAGCTTTCTCATTAGAGTAGCAGTCTGATAACTGATAAAAGGTATCGATTAGGCAAGAAACAATAGCGGACCTAGCACTACGGCGGTCTGGCGACCGTCGCCCTCTCACAAATGGAATTCTAATGCAAGTACACTACCAGATTTTCTTAGAAAAAATATCCATACTACCTCGGACGACATCGTTTAGAAATCACCACCCCGTTGGTAGAATCCTAGATCCGAAGAAATTCTAGATTAGAAGAAATTCGTTAGAATCCTACACTGTCAACAGTAGTTGTAAGACAGGATATTCTTCTTTTCTTTTAAAAAACACCTGTCTTATACAAACTTTGTTTATGTTCTGAATTTTTTTACAACTTTTTGCAGACAACACAAGTGTTGAAATGTGTGTGACAATAGAAAAAGATTACATACAATAATTAAAAGTTAACTAAGATTCTTGTTAAGTAAACTAATCGTTAAATGGACTTATATGTATTAATTATTGTTATTGTTTGTTTCGAAAGTTTTTTCTTTTTTTTTCTGTCTAAACTAATGCAATCTGAACATCACTACTAAAATATTTCTGTAAGATTTCTGACGAGTGCGCTAAACGAACTCTCAACTAAAAATTAGTAAAAGAACAAAAAAAAAAACTCGGCACTGACTGTATGAAAAAAAAACAAAGAGACAAACATATGAAAGAGATATTAAATGTGGCAACCGTGTACATTTTGGTTGTCAGGCTTCAAAGGAAATGAATGAAAGAGAAACATAAAATAGAAAAAAAAAAAATTGTCAAAAAATTTTTTTAAAATTGATGCAGTCGTATTTGTTTGCTATATACATATGATACAACAACAACAAATTTGTACGATTCTCTTTTTTTTTTCTATTTTAATTTTTTAACGTTAAACTCCTCGTTCGAATTTTTTTTCTCAGAACAGCAACTGATCAATGACTGAAACATAAAACGACTCAATGTATTTATATTGAAACGAAAATAATAAGAAAATGAGTGAAACATCAGCAATTCAACGACCAAGTACATCATGTCAAATGAGACGAAATTTAGATCGAGAAACTGTGAATAATGGTTTATCACGTAGTTATACATTTGCTGAAGACAAATCAACAGCTGTTCTACCATCATCATCACCAAAAAAACAAGCACGATCAACACAAAATGTTTCATTGTTAAATGAACGTATTGGCTATAATTTATTAAGTAATGATAATTGGCGACGTGAAACAGTGGATGATTTACGTTTAAATTCAAAAGTAATTGAACAGAGTGATCAAAATATTTTATACGGTAAAGGAGTCGATCCACTGCCTCATGTCAAAGAACTATTGAATGAATTAAGTAATGATCAAGCATTTCTATACGCTAGACAATGTCGTTTGGTGGTAGCAAAACTAAGATTATGTTGGTCAGATGTTAACGAAGAAATAAAATCATTATCCAAACATAAAGAATATACAGAAGCAGCACTTGATCATATTCGAAAAGATTTAATTATTAATAAGGAAAGTGTTGATATTCGGAAAAAACCACCAAGAGAATCAGTAAGTTTATTTTCTATATTTGTCTAAATTGGCTTCGTTTCAAAACAGTGTAGTATATTTAAATACACTTTTCGAGATATATTCGTCTTCTCAAAACCATGCTAACAAGAGGTATCAATGGCTTTTATTAAACACGATATAAATGAAATAATTTAATCAGCACACTAAAATATTCCTAGTATTAATTTTCTTCCCCTACCCTTTTATTAGGAACCAGACGGAGTTGACGATATGTTATCGGCTGAAAAATATCATCTAGTTAACCTGAAGAAAATATTGGAATTAAATTGTAAAAATGTCGTAGATCAAATGCAGGTATACGTTTGTCTTCTCTTCTAGTATAAAGAAACAGAGCAGAGATGGAATATTTCTCTTGTATACATTCATAGAGATTAGACGAAGTAAGAACAAGAGTAGCTAAAATTGGAAAAGAACGTTCTCTGGTAACAGAACTTATATGTCAATGTCTAACACAAGCTTCAAGAACATTTGAAATATCACGAAATGAAAAGTAAAAATAAAATTTTTTTCTTTTATTCTTTTTCGTTTAATGAATAGAATTAATTTGTTTAGATTATCAAATTTACACCAGCAAACTCCGAGAACAGCACCTGTACGATCCAAATCCGCGAGTGGATTTAAATTCAATCGTCACGCTGCTTCATCATCATCTACAATAAATCTAAGAAAAATTTCACCAGAGGCAACATTACTCGATGAAAATGGTTTACCGTTAACTGGAAATTTATCAGCGTTTACCCCCGATGTTATTAATGTATTTAAAGATGCCTCAAAATTAATCGAAGGTAATTCAGGCTTTCTACCTCCTATCTTTATTCATTAACTCTTTTTTTTTTATGTGATTGAAGAATCCCGTGAAATCAAAAAACAAGTTATAAGACAGATCAAAGATGCATTTAATGAAGCAAAATCATGTTCACTTACCGTTCATCAAAGTCTCGCACAGCGTCTTGCCGATATAATTACATTAGCTGTGAGTAATAGTATTTTCAAACGAGTATTAATCAACAATATTCTATAACTATTCTCTGTTCTTAGCAAAATTTAACAATTTCATTAGGAGAGAATAGTCTAGCTCAAAATCGTGCACAACGCTGGCTCGAGCTGACAATTGCAGCGCAAAATGCAAACTCCGGACCAGTCAGTTCTTTCTATTTGAAAACAGCTGAACGTCTCGATAGACCAATTATTCGCACATTTCAACGACATCCAGGAAATCAACTTTCCGAAGCGAAAATTACAATTAAGGTATAGTGTATGACAACTGATGATCACAAATTCTCTTCTCTTTTTGTCACTAATTTAAAGTGCACTATACGTACAGATTCAAGTGGATGCAAATTGAAAAAATATTCTTGACAATAAACTTATTTTGTTCTTTTTTCATTATAGTCCACACAAAGTTTGGCACAATCCGCTTTAGAAACAGCTAAACAAATTCATACATTAAAAATAGTTGGTCAACGTTTACAAAATAATTTAATCGATAAAGAAGTAGCATTAAGTGTTGATTCCAATTTATTACGTCGACGACGTGAACGATCAAATCATAAATGGAATGTTACAAAATACGTACATGTTTAAAAATGTCTCCATCGCTTTACTCTATAATATTTCAATGTATCTTACATACGATATACGTTCTGTCTCAATCAATTTTTACTTTTTTATTCGAAAAATGACTTTTCGCTAAGTTTACTTTCGTACCGTCTCAAAGGCGAAAAAGTCGTACTTAATATTGGTTTGGGTGCTAGCGGGTTGTTAGTGCTATTTCGCACTTTCATCACACTGATTTATATAATTTCTGAAATTTATCTTATTGTTTCTTCCAGGCAAGTGATCGGTTTTTTTTTCATATTTTTTACAGATCTAGAAAATTTTCTTGTCTTTTTTTCTTTCATTTCTACAATAAATAACATTCATATCGGATGACGTTGAGAAATATTCAAGCGGTCTAGATTTATATACTTTGTTGTTCATGCTTTAGAATTAGGCATATATACAACAAACTTATGAGGCATATGTACAAACTTATGAAATTCCCTATATCACAACAACCGGAAAGCATAAAACTATTAAAGGGTGGCCACGAAGTCCTGACCCGATTTGAATAATAAATTTTTCTATAGCGAAACAAGTGATAGTAAATTTGTCTCTATGAAGAAAAGATGCAGTAAAAAACGCTCTACAAGATGACTATTGATTGACCCCGTTAGCTCATCTAGTAGGAATGTTAT